GATTTTATCGCACGGCATTAAAAGACGTGCAACAGGCTCCCGTGGCGGGATGCCATGGCATACTGCGGTAGGCAACGGCATGCCACAGATTCCGGCGCTCGTAGTGATATACTGCGGGGTGCGGCGGCGGGGGTAGAGAAGCGGGGAATTCACCCTTAGATTCCCTTTCTTTCCATAGATTATCAACCCAAAATCTTCTTCTATCCCTATTATTAGCCGCATAAGCTTCTTCCTCATCTGCAATAATCGATATTAACAGCAAATCCCAATATACCATTATAAAACTGAGGCACACCAACACTCGATCAAACGCAAGTACGCAACTGAAGACTAAAAGTGTATCGGGCAGCAGGAGTCGCTGAAGCGTGCTTTGTCGTGCCGCGGCACACCGTGGCATAGTGCTGGAATGCCGCGGTATCTAAGCGGCCAATGTGCGCTGACTCACGGCAAAATCCCTTGCTATGCCGTCCCGGTCTGCGTAAGCCTTTATGCTCTCCGAAAAATGAGATATCAAAATGACATCAACTTATGCGTATTATGATCAACTCTTTATAATGATCTCAACTTGATATTAACAAATGCGTATTACTTTCAACATTTTGACTTAAAACAGTATCACATACACGTCACAAATGTGATACAGGATATGATATTGATATGATCTTGATGTGACACAGGAATGTTTCATAATACTATTTAAAAACAATGTTAACTTGGAATCAACATCATATTGACATCACATTAGGATTATATCACTAAAGCATAATTGACCCGCTGCCAGCATGATCGCGGCATAATAGGAAAATTGTGCTTGTATTTCAAATGCACTTGTCGAAAGAGATTGTGCTTTAAGTTATTTCATGTCGTGAAAGAAGAATGGGCATTAAAAATAATATAAAACGCTAAAATGTGGGATTTTACAGATTGCTTCGTTATTTATTTTATAGTTAGGTCAGGGCCAATGACCACCTCGCCTAATGATAAGTGGTAAATATGTTGAAAACGAATTTTTACTTTCCCGCTTATTTTAACGTAAAAACTTACACGTTATTTATTTATTTTTAATAAAGAAATAACGTGTTAAGACATACGTTCAACTTGAGTTTAAGAAAAAATTACATACAAAATTTGCCTAAACACGGTTTGAAATAGTGTCTTACTTTTTAGTAGTAAAACCTTTTCTCTGGCTTTTTCTTTTTCCTTAAGATCTTTTCAGGCAGATGGTAGCGGGCGGGAACTAAGCCTTTTTTATTTTGAAGTTAACGATGTCTTTTGAATATACTGACGCAGGATTGCGAAGGCGTTGATACAGTACTAAACATAGGCGAAACCGATTTGTTGTCGCTTCGCTTCAGTTCAGCGTGTCTGTTAGGCCAATGGATTATTGTACCATTGTCACCCTTTGGGAATTCATGCAATGACGCAAGAATAAAACGAGTAACTTTCTTTATCAATAACTGTTAAATGAAATAGATTTGATTACTTAACCACTATATAAAAATGATCACGTAAATAGCTGTAAAAATTACGATTACGACAAAAAACAACTTTAAACTTCAAATTGACCAATATTACCTAAACGAAAATTATCTTTTGACCTGGTGATATACTCTGGCTGTAACCAAAATAGATATCTATCTGAACCGATAACAAATAAAAAAATAAATATTACACAACAGTGCATGCTATACCGTTTTTTTTAATATAGCCAGGTAGGCAAATGACTCTACCCCACCTGATGTTAAGTGGTGATAAAGTCCAAACTTTGGACTATTGGAGGAGCTCGATGGCGCAAGTGGTTAGCGCGTTCGGCTGCGATCGTTGAATTTAAGCAACTTTCGCAGTGGTCGGTCATTGGATGGGTGACCAAAAATATTCTATCTCGAGTTCCTCCGTGCTTCGGAAGGCACGTTAAGCCGTTGGTCCCGGCTGCATCTGCAGTCGTTAGCTCCCGCCAATCCGCACTGGGCCCGCGTGGTGGGTCATGGCCCAATCTCTCTATTCCATCCATAGGGAAGGCCTGTGCCCCGCGCGCATCGCCCGCCTATCTACGCGTCATCTATCTACGCATCATCATCAGATGATGATGAAAGTCCGAACGCGTAGATAGCTATATAAAGCAAACAAGGTTATGGAAACCAGAAAGGAAGAGACCAACATACATCAAACGCCGGTAGTACAAATTAAACGGACCGCAAAGAGGACGGATTTGAGACCATCAAAGTTATTTATTACATAATTTCACATTACTTGCTTATCACCAATAAACCAAAGGGCAAACTAAAATCATTAACAGGCGACCTACGCCAATTTCATACGAATCGTATTATATAATATATTCGTGTTCACGAGAAATCTGTGAAATGAAGTGAAATGAAAAGTCATTTATTCAGTCTAGGCTGTTACAAGCACTTGTGAAGGTCAAGAAGCTACGCCATCGGTTCGCAAAACTACGGCGGGAGACATTGTACTGAGAAGAACCGGCAAGAAACTCAGCAAGGGCTGCTTTTTTCTCTGTCTGTCTATTGGGTCAGGCGCGGTCCGAAGGGGACATGACCCCCCCCCCCCCCCAAATCTAAGGTCATTCTTGACATTTGGTACAAAGTAACGTCTTATAGTACAGATAAAGAAAAAAATGCGAAAACCGTGAATGTTTTGGTAAAACATATAATAAAACATATTTTTGAAAATTCAGGTGTGTACGGAACCCTCGGTGCGCGAGTTCGACTCGCTCTTGGCCAGTTTTTTTTTATTAGTGTAATGAGTGACCCCCTCCAAAATTTCAGGCTGCGACCGCGCCTGTATTGGGTAAAACTAATTGATTGAAAAATGGTGATGAAAGCATCATTTCGTACAATAGTCTGATATTCTGAAAATATTTCTAACACTCACACAAATTAGGGCCTTCCCTATGGGTGGAATAGGAAGATTGGGCCATGACCCACCACGCGGGCCCAGTGCGGATTGGTGGGTGCTAACGACTGCAGATGCAGCCGAGACCAACGGCTTAACGTGCCTTCCGAAGCACGGAGGAGCTCGAGATAGTAAATTTTTGATCACCCATCCAATGACCGACCGCTGCGAAAGCTTAACTGCGCAGCCGAACGCGCTAACCACTTGCGCCATCGAGCTCCTCAAGGTAACAAGCAAGCAAAAAGAATCAGATATAAAGAAATAGTCAGGAGAAATAAAATTACCGACATCTATCGAAAAGGCTATAGCTTAAGTGGCCGTGGGTGAGAGCGAGAAGAATCGATGGTCTTTGATGAGGAAAGATTTGCGAAAGGCAAGCACGTGCTGGGCGACTCTAAAAGGGACGACCCTCCTACCAAGAAAAAGGATCTTTTAATACCTAAGGTCACAGGGAGCCACTGACTGCAGACAGCTCAGGACCAATTTGGTATGGAGATCATTGGGTGAAGAAGTGGTATGTGCTCAGGAATATTGCTCAATGATGAAGTGAATATAGTTTGTCTCAAACTAAATAATGATGATACAATGAGAAACAGAAAAATCATGAGAAATTTAATATAGCAAAAGTTGAGCAAGAACAATACAATGAAATGAAGACACATAATACAATACTTGCCAAAGTTTTCAGTGCTGGATAAAGTGCGCATGGAGGCATGAAGAATGAACCTATTAAGAATGAATTAAATTTATTTACAATTTAAAAAATCCAGTCTCATAGTATACGTGCAAGCTGTAACCTTTTCATACCTAAACTGCTGAACCAATGTTGAAGAATTTTGATACAGAGATAGACCACAAAAAAAAGACATCGGTGAATTTTCAATATTAAAATAACAACATATGTTATAGACAAACAGTAAGTACGTAAGAATATTATCAAATTATTCAAAAAATAACACAATATGGCTTAGGTATATTCTGAATTCTACTCTAGCTTTTTAGGGCATAGGCACATGCTATTACTTGTATTAGCCACTGCTTCTATGATCTAACCCAAGAAACTGTTGTTCAACTTACTTGCTCTAAACCATAATTTAAAGCACAATTTATTTATTTGCACAGGAACAGACACTCTGATCACATGTTCTATAATGTTAGACACAACATTATTTACCAAATTGTCATTGCAAAACCTCTTGCTTTTTGCTAATTGCTCTCAACAGTTGTAACATTATGGATTGCAATAAATGAGTTAGGAGTTATCAACATTTCACAGCAAATAAGGTACATAAGCGTGTTTATTATTTGACACAATATATTTCACAATCATTGGATCAAATAAAGAACTAGTTACCATGTATAATAGTGTTTGCTTGCTTTGGAAAATAAAAATAATAGTAAAGAGTAAGCAATATGTGCACTCTATTAAATAAATTATATTGAAAGTTGTTCTCTCCAAGCAACAAGGGTAAGTGATATTACTACCCTCACATTTAAAATAAGTAGAAAATAAATAAAAAGTGAAAATTTTAAAATACAAAGCTGAATCTGAGGAGAGGTCAATGAACTAATCAAATTAAACATCCGGTTTTCAACATCATTATTATGATTTAGTTCTAAATGAGAAAGTTTAAATTAGTGTCTCAATTGAAAATAGTCTTTAAAACCTCATATAATAGTATGTAAATAGGCATATCAAGGTGAACCACATGTCAACTACTACACAACATGCAGGTAGCAATGCACATTATAATCATGTCATGCCTTCTGAGTCAATCACATAATAAAATCTTTCAATATTTCTCCCTATACATTTACCTTTTTGTTATCCTTCTAACTTGATGCATATCATTAATTCATATTGACAACATCAGCTTTAGCATAGATCACTTGTAAACAATTTTAAATAAAACAAAAACATACACCGACAAAATGGATATAGGCATTGAACTGTGATCACAGCGATATGACATATAGCCAGTGCCTCACATTGCTGATGATGACTACAAATCTTGTAGACTAACAACTGTTAAGTATGTAATAGGGAATCGATCAACTGGTCCAGTTAAGCCAAGGTATGTACTCACTCGAGTCCAACAGAGATGAGGTGCTGTCCGATGAGTCTCACAATCTCCTGGTCGGTCTGGCTCATTCGCACCCCCGGCGGCTGGACGTCGCCGTTGCTGGCGGGCGTATCGCCATTGATGTGGAGGGGCGGCGCGCCGTTGGCGCACGGCGCGTGAGGCTGGTGCATGGCCGCGGGCTGGGCGGGCGGCGACAGCCTGCGGGTCCGCTTACGCGGCGGCCGGTGGCCTGCGCCCTCGTCCCCCGACCCCGAGTCAGTGGAGGCCAGGCTGGCCCGCTCCGCTCCTCGTCCTCGCCGCGCTCCTCGGAGCGCCGAGATCACGAGCTCGCCCGCCGCATCGGCCTCGACGCTGCGGCCTCGTGACGTCACGGCAGCCCGCTACGCACAGTCCGCACTCAATGAACCATCTCTCTTTGTTCGTCACTGCAGAATGATGCTTCTCCGTTGTTCTTCCCGTAAGATTCGATGTCCTTGAATACGCTGCCTCGACTCGTTTCTGGGACTTGAGATGGTACGAAAACCTAAGAACGTTAGTGAATTTTGCTGTGTTCGCTGTCGTACACAAAAATCAGCTGAAAACGAAACGACAGCTGTCTTTCTTCGCTAGTGCAACATCGCCCTTCTTTCTTTCTTTCCGTTTCGTGTGACGTTCGGTCCCGTTCGGTTACCCTTCGGGTAAAATCGTGATTGTGTTGAAATCTCAGATTCAAATGACCTCAAAAACTCAAAATGAGGAAATGCAATCACCTTTGATTTAAATTAATAAAAATCGCTACACTTCCATGAGTATTATAATATTAATCTTTTTCCACTTAATTTATCTTCTTTGTTTATTCAGTGATTATTATTTCAAAATTCATTTTTATTCGAAATAAGCAAATAATGAACAAAGATGGACTAATTAAATCAAATAATGTGCAATTGCACATATTTAGCGGTTTTATACCAAAATAAATGATAACATTTTTAATGTGTTTTGTCGTAATGGAACGTAATATGCAACATTTATAAAGCATGTTATCAGTGCAGCGTAGTGCACTGTCATTCTTTTATTAATTATTTAATATTTTGGCACGGTAAATAGATAACTCTATGTTTTTATTAGAATTTTCAAATATATTATGTATAATGATAAAACTAAATGATTTTTACACATTTTAATACTATGATATTAATTTCCGCTTGTTAAATTAATAACGATAAATCAATGCAAACAGTTTTCGTAAACAAAGCACTGCTGTCAGACAGACAAACTTCGAGTTCGACCGAAATAAATTCATTGGATTGGAACGAAACTCACTGAATATGGTTTTGTGTTGATAAAAATTACATTTGCTTTTATTTGTTTTTGTATTTGAAAATGGAATTCTTTTGGCTTTTATTGTCGTTATTTATGTTTTTGCAACCTACAAATTTACAGTTACTCATAAATGTTAGGAACCAGGTAAATTATTCTCTAAGTGTAATGGTAACAAATAAAAACAAAAAGATGTATATTTTAAAATTGAAAGTCCCCGATATATTTATATTCAGTGAAAGATTTCATAAATTACCATTATCTTTAAAATAATATACAATATTACCTTGTTTTTTAAGCAATACTCATTCATTATTCCTAATGTTACAACTTACAACACTAAATACGCATTTGAATGAATATTTAAAAGATTTTATTTATCCACAGGGTGGTGATGTTATGCAAGAAAACATAACAGCAAATGTATCGGAGGATACTGTCATACTGGAATTCTTAAGATTGGATGGTGTTTTTATATCGCAACTTGTGGATTTTACAAATGTATGTATACATACATAAATACATTCTTGGCTCCAAAGTTTATACTAACAAGATAATATATTGAAACCAGTTTGAACACTACCACATGTTACAGAATGATGAAAAGTGGTATTCTTTCATTTTAACTTGTGCTTCTGTTACTTGGTTTTAGGAGGTGGAAGCTATGAAGATAGTGATACCAGCTGAAGAGGAACTGGGCCAATCTGGACACCAGGCACTGTGCTTCCTGACACATGCTGCACAGGCTGACTTTATAGCACCTGATGCCATGGCTAAACTCAGACAAGTAGCTATAATTTGAATTTGAAAAAAAATATCTAACACAATCCATTTTAAAAGTTTTTAGAGCAGATGTAATTCATGGGCATTGAAGTAAAGTGTTAATGTTCACTCTAAGAAAGTTTAAAGCAGACTATCAGTTAAGTAGTTGGTGGTGATTATGAGGTCCTTGTCTAATTTGAAAAGACAAAATAATCTTGCATATTTAACAGGACATACCTTGTATGTGTCTCTTATAAAAGTTAGTTTGGCTAATCTCATACCCCCTTATTAATAAAAGAAAAATAAACTGGAATTAGTCAAAAATGATTGTCTGTTCGTTGAGTTGCAAATAGCATTTGAGTGATATGAACAAAAAAACAAATCTTATTTTTATTATACAGATACTTGGTTGAATATTTAGTAATGGCTCCAAATAAAAATTTGCCAGATTGGCCATACTGCTATGGTCTTAACAATATGTGACACAAGTTGCTAATAAATACTTTCTGAAACTATGTAAAAAACTTGTAAATGTAACATCAATGTTTCCATGGCAGAAATGACAATTTGTTTTGAACCTACTCTCAGCAGGAGGCCGTCGGTTACGTTCTTTATCATGTGCTGAAAACAGCTTGATAAAAACAGTGTCTCGATTGCTGTATAGAAAAACCCGGGCACTGTCCGCATGGCAGAGGAGGATAAAGGTTGGCGCCAGAGTACTGCGACGGCGTGGGCTGGACGCGCTGCCCGCTTGCTGTCCGCGCCCGCCGCGCGACACTGCGCCCTCGCTCCGCATGTGTACCTGCGGGCTGCAGACCTCGCGCGGTGGCCGCCCAGACCAGGTCACACATTACATACAGATAATATATAATAATAAATGGGTATTACAAGTCTATGTGAATTATTTTTTAAGGTGCATACAGCAATTTCCATACATTTTTTGGCAGAATATAAGCCTCTAAAGTTATTCTTCAAATATCTACATGAGGTAAGTTAATTGTTACTCATAGAGGTATTTGTTACTCAATCGAAAACATTTTCTTTTTCAATGATGAGAAAGATAGGTGACAGATATCAATGTCATCTGATTTATCGTTACACGTCTGCATCAATCGACTTAGGGGTGCTACTATCTTGGTTCGGAAAAACGGTTTTGTAAATGGCAAGATTGGATAACGTGGAATTCTTCTTGGAACTGTGAAATGAATTTCAGCAAGCATATCAGGTACATTAATATTTCCATTAACTAACTTATGAAGCAACAAGATGTCGGCACATTTTCTTCGTTTCTCCAGAGTGTCAATTTTTAAATGTTTGTGACGATTTTCATAATTTGCGCGATAGGACTTTTTATTGCCAAAAATTTTGTGAACTGACGCTGGATTCGTTCTATTCTTTCTTTATGAATTTTGTACTGTGGATTCCATATGCAAGAGGCATCTTCTTCTTCTTCTTGTTGCTACGGGCGTTTCCGCAACTCGACGTCCTTATGGCGCCTGTTTTGCGTGAGGAGGGTGTATGGCCGGAATCACTCCAGCCAGCCCAGCTCCGCCAGGAAGGCCCCCAGGGCCTTCACGTTGGTGACTGCCTCTTGAAGGTTTCCCGGTGAGCCGAGGTATTTCGCCCGGTATTCGGCCATTCCGTTGCATTCCAGCAGAACGTGAGTAGCTGTTTCTTCTGCCTCCATGCATCCTCTGCATAGGGGGCTGTCCGTGACACCTATGTTGAAAAGATGTCTGTTAAAATGTGCATGTCCAGTAATAGTACCTGTTACCATGCGCAATGTAGGCTGCACGTCTCCAGTTCGAGCCAGTGTTGCTGGTGTAGTGCGGCAGTGTGCTCGCGAATTTTATTGACGAGACAGCTTACCGGTATCGGGACGATTGGTTCGGGGCCTGTTGGGGTCGTATCGGATCCCTTCCGGGCCAGCTCATCCGCAGCGTCGTTTCTGCGTGATCCGCTGTGTCCCTACGCAAGAGGCATATTCCAAAACAGTACGAACGAGAGAACTGTAAAAGCACAAAATTGCAGTTGAATTATGAAAATCCCTGCAAATTATGGTATGGTATGGTATCGTAGTTATGGTGGAATAGAGAATTCACATAGACCATAGATAAATGATTGGTCTCGCTAAGCTCCACAACCAATCATTTATCTATGATATATGTACAATTCTTTATTCCACCATAACTTCTAAACAACATAGACATTCAAACACTGTATTTTAGGGCAGTCGTGTAAAACTTATAATTACCATAGTGCCTACAAGTGAAATGGTTTTGTCCTTAGCTCAAGATTTGTTTATTCACTATTGATAATATTCATATTGATGCAGGCATGGAGCAGTCGTACTCGTCGTCGGTGACATCGTTCCCGGAGCGCGCGCTGCCCGCGGGGGGCGAGGGGCAGCCCGCCGCGCCCGCCTGCGCCGTAGCCAGCGCGGCACAGGACTGCATGTGCCACATAGAGGTAACTATATATACGTGGGGCATTGGATACCATCACAGGCAGGGAACACTCGTCGGTGACAGCCAGACCCGTCTTTCCCAGTGGGCACTTTGGGCAAGTGCCCAGGGCACCGCGATCGATAGGAGGGCCCCCTCAGATCAAATACAAAGTGCCTAGTTCCTGTTAAATCACCAAACGGATTATCCTAATATGCTCAAGGCCTCCAATAGGTCAAAGACGGCACTGGTGACAGCGTTCCCGGAGCCATTACCAGCGCGGCACAAACTGCATCTATATTGAGGTAACTGTGTATATAATGCGATTCAACTAAGAATAGAACCGACATATTGTGACGTCATAGCTGTCAATTCAAACGAAATAGGTAGAGTGAGCAAAAAGATTTTATTTAGTGTAACTAATTTACTAAGATTAAGTGAGGAAAAACATGAGATTTTTTCAATAAAAATTATTTACTAAGATTGAGAATAAAATACAACCGATTTTTATTAATATTTATTTATTAAGACTGTGAGAAAATACATTATTCAGAATCTACCTCTTCAATTCCGCTCATCTCTGCATTACCGCCGCCGGGGTAGTTATGAATAATCATGCACTGTTACTAGGTCACATACTACGAACATGCATCCTTTATGTAAACGAACGTTTTCAATCGAGTTTCTGAACGCTACTTAAAGTGACATTTGCTTGATGATTTAGGTTATCAACCAGTCATAGTCAAAGCTCAATAAATGAAAAAAAAAATGGTTGCCTGTAAAGTCGGTTTTACGGGCGAAGATTTTATGTGACAACGTCTTTTTCTCGGTAGAATATTTATTGATATGAATATAATTAAATTGCACAATAGGAACAAGGAATTGAATGAAAATAAGAATTGCACAAATTTTAACTATAGAAATATATTTTGTTTACTAAAACATTGTACATGTAAACTTAAACTTAACACGAGAGACTCATCGTAACGTTACCGAGCGTTACACTTTTTCATAAGTGACTCCCAGCCGCAACCTAATTTAAGACGTTGTCACGTCAAAACAACCAATATTAATTATCAACATTTGTTATTGTTTGTTTACAAATGTTTGGTTTTAGTTCTCGAATTAGCCGAGTGCTAAAAAGAATTCCAAGATTTTTTTGCAAACCGTACTTTTCAAGCGACATTTGACAGATGGAGGTCATTGGCTTTCCTATTCTTATTTGAATCGCACTATACCGTGGAGCGTTATGTTTACAAAGCCTCACATGCAAAACAATTTTTTTTTAAATCCTAACTTTCTCGTGCATAGCACCGGCCTATATGTCTGTGAAAGGACACACGCTGTGTCAATAGAATGGAGAGAAGTAGCCACGATAGAGGATGGATAAGCAGACAGGCTTACTATTTCTTGGTATTCTCCGCAACTCGACACCAGGTACCCCTAGCACGAACCAATATCAAATTTGTATCGTTTGCAAACCGAAATGTCAATGTCAAATTTTGTATGGAAACTTGAACAGCAGCGCCACTTTGGACGTAACGGGAACTAAAAATCAGTACACATTTGACAATGATATTTCGGACTCGCAAACGTTACGAATTCAATTTTGGTTCGTGTTAAGGCTACAGTACCCTTAGTTTGAGTTTGAGCTCACGAAAACTATCTTAGTTTTCGTAATTGTAAATTATATTTCTATGTCCATTTTGGTGAAAAGTAACCAAATATACTTAAAATTTATGATGACGCAAATGTTTTAATGATAGAATTTAAATACTGTTTATTTGTATTGAAAGGAAAACAATAAAATCAGTACCCTTAGTACGAGTGCGAGCTCACGAAAACTGTCATGGTTTTCGTAATTGTAAAACTTGTACTAAGGGTACCGGTGTCTATTTCGCGTAAGTGGAAGGCTTCAGTCACGCCCGCCTAGCTCAGCAGTTTCTTAATGCCTTACGGCAGATTGATAGGTGCTAATGACTGCAGGTGCAACATAGTAAAGCACAGGGGAGCTCAGGACAATAATTGGATTTCAAACTATTTTTAAGAGGTACAAAGAAATCCAATTACATGGTAATATGTATTTTGTCCATAAGGTGTCGTTATCATTATGAATTTATTGGTCCTTTAGGATGCTTCCTTTAACATCAACTTACCATTGCCAAAATTCCCTGACTTCCACAGACGCAGGCTGAGCTCTAACGACACATGTGCTAACGCTAACCCCGAAGGATAATTACTGATTAACTGATAATTTAAAAAATCATAATAGTAGTATCTCAAGCGAAATATATCTTCATACATGTTAAAATTCCAACTAAATCATCAGAAACCCGCGTCCCACACTACGTTTGCCTAGACGCGGTCTCCACTCCAGAACTCGTCTACCCCAACGGCTATCGGTTCTTCGGCAAATATGGCCAGCCCACTGCCACTTCAACTTGCTAATCCGGTGGGCTATGTCGATGACTCTGGTTCTCTGTCGGATTACCTCATTTCTGATGCGATCCTTCAGAGAAACGCCGAGCTTAGCCCTTCGGCTATGGCTTGGCATTGGCTATAGGTACGGTTCTTCTTCTTCTTGCTACGGGCGTTTCCGCAACTCGACGTCCTTATGGCGCCTGTTTTGCGTGAGGAGGTTGTAAGGCCGGCATCACTCCAGCCAGCCCAGCTCCCCCAGGAACGCCCCCAGGGCCTTCACATTGGTGACTGCCTCTTGAAGGTTTCCCGGTGAGCCGCGGTATTTCGCCCGGTATTCGGCCATTCCGTTGCATTCCAGCAGAACGTGAGTAGCCGTTTCTTCTGCCTCCATGCATCCTCTGCATAGGGGGCTGTCCGTGACACCTAAGTTGAAAAGATGTCTGTTAAAATGTGCATGTCCAGTGATAGCACCCGTTACCATGCGCAATGTAGGTTTGCTTAGCTGTAGGAGAGTTTCGGAGAAGGCAGCGTTCACCCGTGGCAAAGCGAGCTCGGTCTGCCTGCACATCTCCAGGTCGAGCCAGTCATGGGTGAACGATTCACAGGTGTGCGTCAATTGGTACCCGTGCGGCTTGAAGTACTGCAAGGGTAAGCCGTCGGGCGGGCTAAGCTACCGCTGCGGCATCAAGACGTGCCGGCGCTGCTACCGGTACCACTTCTACGTGTTGCAGCGCTCCTCCTGCCCCGGCGCCGGCCTCTCGTGACCCCGGGCCCGGCGCCCGCGCCGCACTCTCTCGTCCCCGTGCCAATCTTACCGAACCCACCTAGCTCTAAGCATAGCTTTATCTTGTAAGTTGCGACAATATTATTGTAATGTTTATTTTTGTACATATTATCGTTATCTTGTATTATACTCGTATTGTAAGAACGAAATAAAGACTTATTATGAATAATATTTTTGGTGTTATTATTTATTCAGTTTAAGTTTTTATGTAAAAGAGAGTTCAACATCACGTCTGTCCTTTATGCTCACAAATATACTGAGCCGAGTATCAAAATATACTGAACTGATATAAAGAAGGTAATACTCTCGTCTGTGAGGTATTATAAATTCAAAATTCAAAAAAAATTCAATATCGTTTATTCAGTCTAGGCTGTTACAAGCACTTGTGAATGTCGAAAAGCTACGCCATCGGTTCGCAAATCTACGGCGGGAGACCTTGTACTGAGAAGAACCGGCAAGAAACTCAGCAAGGGCTGCTTTTTTCTCCCTGTTTTATTTCATACAGTGTCGTCCAATTGAAAGTTGACATCAAACTTGCAAACATGTGTTGAGGTCAACTTCCATCACATAATGTAAAATATGTAACAATAGACAATCAACGAACTTACTAACAACTAGTAGCCCGCCCTCGCTTCGCTTCGGTGTAGAGCTGTAGTGTAAACTATAGTTTTTGTTCTCAGGCTTGTGCTATAAACAATGATTTTATTTATATAATTACACGTGTTATTGTGAGTCAACCATAAAAGATAGAGATATGCTGTTGCGGGATATTTTTTAGACAATTTTATGTAGAATATTTCCGTCATACATGATTTCTATGTAACTTTAACCATTAAGGCTGCACACGCGACGGAACCTTAAAAATGGAGTAACTTCTCCCGTTTTCCCAACATTTCCCTTCACTACTCTGCTCCTATTGATTGTAGCGTGATGAAAAGTATACTATAACCTGCCCAGGAGTATGAAGAACAATTGTACCAAGTTTCGTTAAAACCCGTCGAGTAGTTTTTGTTTCTATAAGGAACATACACACAGACAGACAGACAAAAATTTTACTGATTTCATTTTTGGCATCAGTATCGATCACTAATCACCCCCTGATAGTTATTTTGAAAATATATTTCATGTACAGAATTGACCTCTCTACAGATTTATTATAAGTATAGATAAGTGCAAAGATAAGTCCCAAAATAGCAAGAAACAATTTTCAAAACAAAATGAACAAGTATATGAAAGGGAGTAAGTGCAAGGTTCTCTTCAAAACTCTTTCTAAGGCTGGGAGCCTTAGTTTTAATATAACTTTTGAAAAGTTATCTACAGGTAAAATTACAACCAGGCCGTTTTATCATTCAAATATTGATTGACAGTATAATATCCTTTCTTAAGTAAACAATTCTTAATGTGTATTTTAAATTTATGAGGAGGCAAATCAAGGAAATCAATACCCATAAATGATTTATGAACCTTCTGTAACCTGTAATTTGGTATCTTGAGTTTATTTTTATTCCTTGTATTAAAAGAATGTATGTCACTGTGTTTTAGATAATAGTTAATATTGCTTCGAACAAAAAGTATGCAATTATAAATGAATTGAGAAGCAACAGTCAAAATTCCGATTTCTTTAAACTTTTCTCTAAGAGATGTTCTAGAATTAAGTTGATAAATAGCCCTTATAGCTCTTTTTTGCAAGATAAATATAGTTTCAATATCGGCTGCTAATCCCCAGAGAATAATACCATAGGATACAATACTATGAAAGTAACTAAAGTATACAGTTCTAGCAGTAGCTACATCAATCAGTAAGTTGTCTTATTTTACGTATGGCATAGGCTACTGAACTAAGTTTACCAGCTAGCAGAGAAATATGAGGATACCATTGCAATTTCGAGTCTATGGTTATACCTAGGAATATCGTTGATTCATATATTATATCAAGTGAACCAATACAGAAAGAATTTTGCCATCAATAGCAGAATTTTGCCACCTCATACAGAAGTAATAAGAATTACATATATATGTGTAACATATATCCCACCAAAAACATTCTGTAAAAAACTAGCCAAGTCTCGATGGAACTGCTTGTTTATATCTACAAAGTAATGAAATCTAGACAAAGTCGTGCCAAGTCTAAGGTTCCTTACTGCGATTTCTTTATTATTATAATTAATGTTGTGCGACTTGGCCGCTGAAGGGTACACAAGGGTACAAAACCAGGTGCTACATGACACCATTGCACCAATGCATTCATACATGCAACTACTTGACTTGGCGGAGGCACTACCGTGCCCCCCCCCCCCCCCCCCCATGTGTAATTCTTATTTTAAGAGGGCTGCTGTGACACATTTGGTGACATGTTGCAGCAGCATTATACTGAGGCAGGGTCCTGATTAACCATTTAGGATAATAATTTAAACAGTTTTTCCTTTTATTATGTAAATTATATTTTTTAATGTCATTTGATCAATATAACGTTTCTCTCTCTCACTCTCTCATATAATACATGCCCTGAAATAAAAACTATGGTCTACACCACGGTGGAAAAACAAAGAGGAGCTGGCCTAAGCAACTGTGCACTGTGATTTTCAATTAGGTCCTGACGTCATCATTGTGGGCGGGGCCTAAGTCAGTATGCTTTCAGCGTTCGTCAGGTGCACACTTAACGAGACTCGCATTATAAGTGTTTTTTTGCGTTTTTAACAAGAAAAGGATGAAGTTTTGTGTTTTACTATGTCAAAGTTACTCAGACAGACGTTCTGATAATATGGATGGCATCACATTTCATTTGTAAGTAATTTTATACGTAATTAAATATATAAGTTCTAGAACATTCTCAGCCTCAGCTATCAGCGTTAAAATTCTACTACTTGACACCAGATGGCGACACTTTTAGGAAGAAAATACACAAGTTTACGTATAATTTTGCAGTAGTATATTGTAATAATCATACGTAAATACTGAAAACTGTTATACACTTATTCCTAAATAACTTTTAGTATCTAAAACAGTAATTTTATCAATATATAACTAACTGGCCGCCATCTGTCGTCATATAGAATAACTTTTTAAACGTTACAAATATCCAGGGCCGTAATACGTATTAAATTATTTTACCAAGTAAATAAATATAATTATTTTTATGTTCGTTTTAGATTTCCATCCAACGATAATTTAAAACAGCAATGGATTTCAAAACTTAATAGACCGGATTGGACACCATAGAAGAAGAAAATATTTCCATTTTAAATGAATCTTCTGTGCAAAAAATTAATATTACATCAGAACGTTATCGCATTTTAAATAAAATGAGTTTCGAGTCTTCGGATAGCACGGATGTCGAGCCTATGCCTGACGATATGTTATTGGAATTTGATGAACAATTAAATACAACTATAGGTGACTATTTGCGCCGTCAAATAGTAGCATATATTTCTGGGTATGTGGTCAAATTTTACATTCCAAGATCAAATGTGAGAGCTGTCTCAAAGAATTATATGCTGATAACTACGACGATAGTGACCTTGATTTGATAAAAACTAAAAATACAAAACGATAGGGCAACTAACCGACAACAACTAACCAAAACTATTATTTACAGGTAATTGATGTTTTTTAATAAAATGATGTTTGTAATAACATTTTGTCTATTATTTTTAAACTACCTTAAAATTTAAATCTAAAGAAAATATAACTAGAAAAATATCCACGCGGACCAGGCAGCAGACGGGAGCGGGTGCGGGTTCGAGTCCCGTCTGCTGCCTGGTCTGCCTGGATTTTTTTTCATCAAGCAGTTACATGTTTTAAAATAATAAAATTTATACCTTAAAAATTTTAAAATCGGTCAAATTTGTTAACGTTTATTTTTTTTATTTACCTACATATTTCATTTTTTTGAAGCTTCAAGTTCTGAGTACCTCCCATTATATACAAAACTTTTGACATCTAGTGTTAGATAGCTGAACTGCTACGTAGTAACATAAATATCAACCTAAGCTAGTAGTTTTGCTATTAGCCGATAGATGAAATATTGAGAAGTGGGCGGAGCTGAACACCCCGCATCCCGCAAATTATCACGCGTCGTTTCTTGGGGAAATTTAATCACCACACCTCCTCTTTGTTTTTCCTCCGTGGTCTACACCAAAGGGAGAAAAGCCAGTTCATTTGTTTAAGTTTTAACTAAATTTATATAACATAATATCCAAAATAAAATTTCTCATAAAAAGAGAGGGAATAGGAAGGCTAAGAAAAAGTTTGCAAACCGAAATGTCAATGTCAAATTTTATATATAGAAACTTGAACAGCAGCGGTACAAAGTACATAACGAGAACTAAAAATCAGTACTCATTTGACAATGACATTTCGGACAATGAATTCGATATTGGTTCGTGCTAGGGGTACTGATCCTAGTGAGGTAATTTGAAAGATTCAACAAAAAACATTATAATTTAATTTTTTAAAGTTCTTAGAAATTTTAATAGATGGTTGGGAGTTTTGAAACCATTGATTTGATTTAAATGTATTATATTATATTTCTTCAAACTAATATAATCTAAAGAGAAGTTATTTTAAATATATAAAATTAATGACAGCCAGGAAATGGTTCATGTCTGTTCTTGCGAAGTACAAACTTTATTTTCCTCTCCATATCTTCGTTATAAATAGCTTTGCATCTCTCATGGTTGATACGTCTTCTTGTCTGTAAAACAATCAAAAGGTTATATACTGATATCTTATATTAAAAATAACTAAAATTTTCAAATAAAAAGTTGTACGTATTACATACATTAAAGAACAGAAGAACTTGAGAATTAGAATGTAATATTCAATACATTAATTTTCTGCAAATAGGCTTATAAAAAGCTCTTTTACAGGTCCCAATGTTATTTTGTCCCTACCACCTGCTTCGAAACAATAAATGGGAACTGTACTGAGAAAATTGCTTGTGCATAGGTAATTTCAATAATTTCCTTAGTTTAGAGACTAAAGTCCTTACCTGAAATGGTTTCTCATAGTATTGATTTAGTCTAAATCGTTCTAAAATTCCTTCTTTTCCAATAATTCTGTTGACCATTCTGCAGGCATCATCTACATTATTATTTTTAACAAAAACTGTTCGCGCAATAAATTGTGGATGTCTATTAGCTAATAATCTTGCCGTTATAAGCATATTTTGTTATTAATAGAAAATATACGTAAATAAACTTGAAAGTTACAATTTCTAAGTAAAAAGCACTACACAAAGTAGTGATTTATTCAAATTGACATTGACTGTCAATGTCAGTCAGTGTGACCACAATAAATTTTACGAAAATACTGAAGCACAACAAAAAATGTACCGAGCGACTTGCATAGAGAAAAAATACCAATAAAAATAATGATTTTCAAAACAGGTTTTGTTCATTCATAAATACATTTATGTTTATAAATCTATTTATTTGTCCAGTTTTTGTTCAATATATGTGAAAATACGGGATCGCGTACAAAGTTCGCTACTAGTATACATGTCATTCTCTATTCAGAATGAAAAGGAGAGACTGATGTCAAAATTAGTTTCAAGTTTAGAGAATCATGTCAGAATTATTGACATCATTTTATATGAATGCTTCTTACTCAAACACGCAAAAACTACAGAACGGATTTTGATCTGGATAGATCCCTTTACATACATAGGATACCTTTTATTGCGGAAAATGTTCAATTCCTGTGGGATTTTCAAAAAAGCGAAAGTTAACACGGATGTAGTCGCAGGTGGCCGCTAGTTAATTATAATATTATTAATTCATAAGAAAGAAAAACACGCGCATTATTTATATGACAACTAAGAAAATGTACTATGTATATACAAAGACAAAGACGTACAGCGGTGCACAACCCCACGCCTACCGCGCTGGTTGAGGAAAAGTTCTGCAATATACGCGGCCTCCAAACATCAACGCTGTCCACCACCATCTTGAAACAGCACGGCTAACAATGTTGTTTCGGACGGAGTCACAAATACTTTCACCCGCTGCCACATGCTCCCTAAATTATCCTGGCTACGTGCTTGAAAAGTCCTTCGAAGTGAAAGCCTGTATATTCAGGCGGAATTCACCCCCTTTTCCATGTTAGGGGATCACGTGGATGATGGTCCTTTGGTTAGTCTACGTGTGCGTCTACAAATCCCATACTGTGGCAACTCGACTTTTCGAACGTCTTAGTCGGGTCACAGATGACGCGCAGGAGCAATTTCCAAATGCAGAATTTGTGATTTTGATAGATTTTAAGCTCTCCATAGTTTGTGGTTACGTTCCTCCAAAACTGAACATGCAAGGATATCACTCAAGCACAAACTTCAACGCGACTGGTTGATCAGCCTACCAGGTTCCCAGATATTCCAAGTCAAGCGCCCTCTTTGTTAGACCTTTTGCTTACACAGGGCTATCAGGATGTGTTTAGAGCACCACGGAGCTCGTCGGATCATTGCCTGATATCTATTCAAGCGCCACAGGTCAAGCCTCCGCGTTCAGTTGTGGTCAAACGCCTGATCTGGCACTATGGGTCGGCAGATTGGTCCGTTCCTTGGAAGCAGCGCTGCTTCAGTGACAGAGACCTATTGGCCAGCGCCATTGCCATTACTGAGGATATTGCAATAGTATGGAATACCATATTCCTCATCCTGATCGTATCAGTAAGTGCACACGTAACCGCTGGTTCATAGCGACTGTGCTGTAGCTGTTTCGCGTAAACGATGTCATCCCAGCTTAAAAATGTGCAGCGAAGGTGTCTACGGTGTTCACACGCTTACACCAACTTTCGTACTCTTTGGTTCATGTGCTGGAGACTTAGAGGGATGCTAACGTACAACCGGTGCTAAAAAATAGGGGACCTCAGACCTCTTTCCAAAATTATTGATCGCTATGGCCACTCAGTCCAGAGCGATCAAACACCAGAGAGATAATTTTTTGGTAGTTTGCGATTTTTTTATGTACTTAAAATAAAGTTAGGCATCATTATGACTGTATACGTCCAAGGTGTGCTGCATGATTATTGCAACTACAATAAACAAGATTTTAAATTACAAATTAATTTTTAGGAAACCTAGTTTCTCCAAGAAGACGCATTTTTTTATTAGTGAAAACATGAACCAGCGAAATCCTTCACCCAAGAGCGCAAAAACTTCACAAAATAATCAAGTCAATTTAAATGAAAGATAATGTCAAAATCGGATCTTAAAAGTCGAAGAGATTTATTTTTTTGTAAAATACAATAGTAACTATTTTGAGTCAAGTCTAGCATTTATCTATATTTAATTTATTTATCATTTTAAACAAATCATGGCTAACGATAGCGATGGAAAAACGATTATGTCTTTATCGACACTATCAGAGGTTAGCACAACGGCTCACAACCGCTCCCGATGGCGAAACGCGCCGCTTCATGAGCGATGCACTATGCAAGACATGTTGAAGATCAAGGAAGCATTCCAGAACGCGTACCGGAACAAACTGCTGCCCAATGAGTTTCGCACACTGCTAAGGAACCTTCTCAATGTCGAATACGACGATGAAGAATTCAAAATACTTTTTTTGAAGGTAACTCTGATTTTATGCCTAGGTACCCACAGCGTAATCTATATTAGAAGTTAAGTTAGTTAGGTTAATGCACGAAACTTTATTTATTTATTGACGTTTCGCAGCCTTTTCAGGTCTGCATCGTCAGACAAACAAGTCTTTCGAAGGTAGCTCGACAATTTTAAATAAAAAATCATTATTCTATTGCTCTATTTAAAATTGTCGAGCTACCTTAAATAAAAAATCATTATTCTGACGATGCAGACCTGAAAAGGCTGCGAAACGTCAATAAATAAATAAAGTTTCGTGCATTAACTCGTAAAAACTAGTTTTATTTAATGAGTGATGTGCGTGAAAACCTAAGAAACAAATATATTAGAAGAAGCTTTACTAATTTTATCATCCACTGTAGGTACATAGTTCACATGATTTTGATTAAGTTGAAATAAATAAAGTTTAACACATCATCACGCATTAATAATTTATTCCCTTGACCTCGTCGACCTCGTCGTAACGGTTTTCGATTTTCTTCCCGTTCAAAGATAAATACGAACCGCAATGGTGAGATCGATTGGGATGAGCTGGTGTCGCACCTTCTGCTGGGCTACTTCGGCAACGACCCTGAGAACCAGCGCGCTTCACTGCAGCCACCTATCATGGGGCTGCCCACAGTGATGCGCTCGCAGCACCGACACCCAATCTCTAGGATATGCTTTTGCCCCGACGTCGCTAAAGTAATCATTACATTTACCTACCTAACTTAGCAAGTACCTAAATCATGCCGAGTATTACCATGGTAATATAATATTACCGTGGTATTACTATTTCGCCCCTACCCAGTCAACACAGAACTAGAAATTTTGTTTGATACTCCACCGTTGGCAAACAGGTCGCTGCTTTTATATTTTCTAATATTCAACTTTTATAAATTTATAGTTCTTGATACTGTGTGTTTGTGATGCTTATCTTTACCAGGACCGCAGCACAGATCCAATGCAGGGGTCGTACATTACCGCGAGCCGCGACGGCATGATCAACTGGTGGTCTCTCGACATGACTTTGTTAAGGACGGCTTATTCATCCAGTCGTAAGTAACGTGATCTGCTTTTGAATTAACTCAGATGCTTTTAGCTTTTTTCTTTGCTGTTTCTTGTCATGCAATACTAAAAAAGGAGAGTTCTATTTTGTCAAATTATCACTTACAATAGGTCGGAATACTGCGCCACACATGAAAGAGACTATCATTAGTCGGAGTTACGATGGCATATAGCCGTAGTAGGTACTCTGCTCTAGCAAATTACGCAGAAAATTCTGTCCTTTTCGTAAATAAAATATAGACTGACTGGGCTGCGACTGTGACAAGAACTTCACCAGAATACGCTAAATTGCTTTCTTTCCTGATTAGTAAAATTACAAACAGAGATACCTATGAGATATTATAAAGGCTTCTAGCTCTAACCCAGTATACATTCTATAAAGCCGGCGAATTTGAACTTTGTGTTTTTTTTGTTTGAACAAGTTGTGTTGCCTATTGCATTGTAAGTACCTACATAAACTTTAAAGCATTTACCTACACATGAATATAACAAAGCAATTGACACCCAACACCCATGCCCACGTCTCAAATAAAGTCTCCGGCATAGTGTGTCCGAATCAGATGGGACACAATCACCAGCCAATAAATTTTAAAATTGATCCATCAGGTGACTTTTGATGAGGCTGTAATATTAAAAGTAGACACGGTGCTTATGGATATTATGTGCAGCACACCTGAAGGTGCGCACCACGTGGGTGACGGACATGGTGTGCATGCCGGACGTGAACATCATCGTGACCAGCTCCACGGAGCGCGACTTGCGCTTCTACGACTGCACCGCCAAGACCTTCACGCTCAAGATCGTCATCACCAGCTGGGAATACATGGTTAGGATCAACTGTATTGATTTTGTGTGCTAAAATTATACTTTTCACTCATGCAGTAGGAACTAATAGTTCTTCAATAGATGATATGATGTCATTTGGCTTTGCTTGCGTAGTTGCAACCGATGTGTATTCTTTTCAAAATCTGTATATTTTTATCAAGTGCCAAATATTAAAGTACATACAGTGAAATTAAATAGCACTAATCTTTTTCTCTGTCTTTGCTGCTTTCTTCAGTCAACAGCTGAAATGATATTTTTTACAATAGCCATCCAAATTACCATAAAAATGACGTGATGCTTTTGTACAGCAGACCATTTCTTACGTAGTTTTGTTGGTGGCCTTGAATGTGAAGGTGCTTCTTGGTGTGTTTGATACCTAGATCTGCACGATGTACTACCACTTCCACAAAGATTCGAACGAGAAGTGCATGTTGATCTGCGGCGACGTGGGAGGCGGTGTGCGAGTATTGCTGTTCTCGCCGGTGAAGCGAGGCCCGTTCCGCAACCAGGCCGGCCGCGCGCTCATCCAGCTGCGGCACATTGACCTACAGCGAAGGGTTAGTGTCCTAAGACTGAGGCTTAGCAAATGATATCAACAAAAGCTGCTTTTTTAAATCGTCGTTTTTTAATCGTCGTATCGATTCACAGCATTACCTATAGATGATAAACTGAAGTCTTCATTTAATTTGCACCTTCAACAAATATTCTGCCTGATCGTTTTAAATACTAATACGGCAAGAATAGTAGCATAAGCTGAGGCAAGGTTCTGATTGGCCATCGCTTAATAGGACTACTTTTGTTGTGTCTTATGTTGTTTTCTTTTAATTCTTTGTTTGTAGTTTTTTGTGATGGCCAAAGGCCCTAAAGGTTTTTTTATTTCAATTCATTTTGCTCGAATGAGTTATGGCATTTCTGGAAACCTGTTGCTGTGAATTCTCCGAAAGCGAAAGTTACCTAGTGTGTATTCCGAATCAAACACCAATACGCTGGCCAGTGGTAATGACGTCATGATTTCGACGCCATATTGACAACACTACTACTACACCAGTGCAATATGGCGTCGAAATCATGACGTCATTACCACTGACCAGCGTACTGGTTTATATTTCGGAATACACCCCTAGTCAATTGACTAGCGGTTCGTAAAAAGAAACAGAGTTGCATTCGTAACAGTAGAACTCATTCATATCACAGATCCACCATGTAAACACATCATCGTTTTTAATCGTAAGTACTGTTAACTCTGCTACGTCCAGGTCTTATTGGGCGTATGGCATATACATAATATTTGTCCCAAATGTCCCGTCAGCCGCACCTGTTGTCCGAGATGAAGCTGGTGGAGTTTCCCAGGGTGCACTCGGAGTGGGTGCGACAGGTGTCCTTCTACGCGTCGCTGCACTGCGTCGTCTCCTGCGCCACTTGCGCCGACTCCCTGCTTATGAGCGACATACAGGGCTCCAAGACACATAACATGTTCAGGGTTGAGAAGGTCATTTTCCTACTTTTATTACTTATTAGAGTATTAATTGAAGGAATGCGCAATCCATTCATTGGTCAAGATTATGCATTGAAGGTCTAAGTTTGTATACTCGGAGAAATTTCAATTAAAGACACTTGCCCACCGTCACAACAAGGAGGTTGTACCACATCCTTCTACATACCTACATGACGAACGATCTAATTAGTTACGATCTCAATACAGAACTATAACTACAGACATATGTCTGTGTCTTTAACAAAGACTAAATGTAAACACTTATTTGATTGTGATCTGTTATACGGAGCCTCGAGATTCTCTTTTTAAAAAAGATTTATTTTAATTAAGAAGTAATTTATTTGGATGCGAGTTACAAGACGTGTGGCTGGGACGCGACTGACGAGCCACACAGGGCTCGCGCGAATGTGAGGCTGGATTGTTAGGTCAGCATGTCTAGCAGCCTGGTTAGCAATAACCCTTACAAATACCATATGTAACAGATCGATAGTAATTTAATGTGGTGAACTAGGATCACAGCGAACTATTGGCGAGACTATGCCTTGATTTACATAGGTACTATTAGGCACTCGGGTTCCCAAAGCTATCACACGTCATAGCCTAAAGATATGTTAGAGTAAGTTCCATTCAGCGTGCAGGGCATCCAGTGCTTCGCGTTCGACGAGGAGGCGCACGTGCTGGTGACAGGCGGGCCGGACTGCGCGGTGCGCGTGTGGAACCCTTTCGTGCCGGCGCGACCCACCGTCACCTTCACAGGTCACCATGCCGCCATCACGTCACTCGTGCTGCAGGCCAACGGCCAGACTGTGTACTCGCTGTCCCGGGATCGCGCCATCAAGGTCTGGGACGTGCAGGGACACGTCTGTCTGCAGGTGGGATTTCATTACAGCACTGACTAGACTGTTCTCTTTCTACCTCTAATCACGCAGCTGTCACGGCACTTGCGCTGCAGGCCAACGGTCAGATGGTGAACTTGCTTTCTCGCGATTACGTCACGTCGGCTTCTGTAGAAATTGATTCTGTACTAGGTATAAGCCATACTTAGGTGTAACCTGCTTCTTAAGCTGTAGTCAGTGTAAAAAGAGACAGGATTCTATCCAAGGGCTACGCCAGCCAAGCCATGTTCAAATTTATAAATGGACGGTGTAAAGATATGAACTCAGTTGTATATGCTGTAAGGTTGGGATTGAAATGTAAATAAACGTAGTGAATTCATTCTAGTTTCGTCGTGCAGGAAGCAGAAATGTTTGGTCAGGCAAGCAAGTCAAATGGGTGGACTAGGACTAAGTACTTTGGATGCTTTATTTGGCATTTTTATCCTATCTGCCCCTCCTTGGCGACGCTCTTAACCAGTGGTGGATTTACCAGTAGGCTCAGTAGGCTGGAGCCTAGGGCGGCAGATTTTAGGGGGCGGCAAATTTGGCCCAAAATATACACAGAAAAACGAGTGACAAAAATTTTAATATTTTGGTAATGTACAGTATACTCAACACTCTTACGTCTGTAATCCGTATATAAAAGATTACTAAGCGCACTGTAAAATATAGGTACTTATGTGATCATGATTTTTTAAAATATTCCAATCATCATCATCAGCCTATTAATGTCCCCACTGCTGGGGCACAGGCCTTCCCTATGGATGGAATAGGGAGATTAGGCCATGACCCACCACGCGGGCCCAGTGCGGATTGGTGGGTGCTAACGACTGCAAATGCAGCCGGGACCAACGGCTTAACGTGCCTTCCGAAGCACGGAGGAGCTCGAGATAGTAAATTTTTGGTCACCCATCCAATGACCGACCACTGCGAAAGTTGCTTAACTTCAACGATCGCAGCCGAACGCGCTAGCCACCTGCGCCATCGAGCTCCTCGAATATTCCAATAGCGTTTCAATATTAATTACAATTTAATTTTAGTATTTTTTTAAACTAACGACCGACGTAATATGGACGATAGAACACAAATGATTAAGTTGCAATTTCAGAATAAATATAATTGTGAACTAGCGTATTGAATTTCAAAGGTCAGTAGGGGCGCCGCCCCTACCGCCCCTGGGGCGGCAAAAATTGAATAGCCTATTAGCGGCAAAATTGTAAATCCGCCACTGCTCTTAACACTACCTACATTTAGAGTTGTCTCATCAGACATACATCGACGTCCCACCGCAAGTGGGCGAGCGCACCCCCATCTCCGCAGTGTACAACCCGGCAACGCGCGAGTACATCCTGGCGGCGATCAAGATAGCCGTCCTCGTGCTGGACGAGCAGCTCAACCCGGAGCACACGGACGGGTTCACGCACTCGCGCGCCGTCGCCAAGGTGCTCTACAACCCGCTCTTCAAGGTTGTCATCACGTGCGGCATGGACAGCATCATCATCAACTGGGACCCTGTAACAGGTATCACTGTCAACTCGTTAGCTTGAACGGTTACCTCGATCTGACCGACATATAGTGAACCCCAATCTCGTCTAAAGCCTGGACCGCGTGGAATTCAATTCAATTCGTTTCGTTCAATTCGTTTATTGCATATCCACAATGTACAAAAAGATGTTAAATATAAGTTATGACAAAATACGATCATTATGGAATGTTTTGAAGTAAAATTTTCTTTTCATCCCACCACCTCGGAAAGTGTAATTTTGCGCTTCGAAATCTGGCTGGAAAATTCTATTTTATTCGCTTGAGCGGCAAAGTAGATTTGAATTTAGAACATCACATATAATGAGTACTCAATATAATTGTAAATTCAAAACGTCATTAAACCTATTTAATGTAACCTCTATGGTGCCAAATTTATGATTAGAACTTTTTAAATTGTGAAAAAATTTAAATTTGGAACCTTCTTGGTTTCTTTGTTTTATTTGCGTGCTTCGCGCCATTCTAGTTTTTCACGTTTTATTGCTTAAATATTTTGTCATTATAAATTGTTTTCTTTTTCATTTTGCTCACTTTTTCTTTTCACTCGCTGCGCTCGTGATTCAACTTTAGAATCCTTCGCTTGCTCGGTCATCCAAATCGAGCACGCGGTTAAAAAGGAACTTTCCACTCTTGTATAATAAATAACTATTCACATGCAGTGAGTTTTTCGAATCCCAGTTATTTACACATGCAGTGTGTTTGATTGAATATTTAATGTAATGATTATGATCCTTTGTTTGGTCGAAATAAAATAATTAATAATAATAAAAGTTATCCGGCTCCCAGTAATCTATCTTTACCACAGAACATACTGAGTGCTGTGATCTATACTATAGTAGGTATAGTGCCGTCTTTGACCTATTGGAGGCCCTGATATATTAGGATAATGGGCCCCCTATTGGTGATCTAACAGGAACTAGGGACTTTGTATTTGATCTGAAGTGGGCCCCTATCGATCCCGGGGCCCTGGGCCCAAAGTACCCACTGGGAAAGAGGGGTCTGAGTAGGTATATATAGAGTATGGCAATGACCCAGTGGAATTGACAAGATAGGTTCGGTCGTTTAGATATTCTCATTATTTGATTGCAATGAGAAGTTTATAAATTCACGTAACATTTTATGAGCGTTACTTTTTTCTCGACGTTTGTCTACACACTGCATTATTTTTCTTGTAGTCCCGGGCAGTCTGTGCACTGTGCAATCATCTCACTTCGGCCACTCATCCACAATATAAGCGATGGCCTTCCATCTCTTCCGTTTTCATTGCACAGGCCAAACACTTACATTTCATCCGTGGTACGTCAGGTAAACGAAACGCGATGGTGCGTGACGCGCACACGCGCCTATTGCACGGGGAACTGATTCCCGTGGAGATCACCGCCGCGTGCTTCGACCCTGGACATCAGCTCCTGCTCACCGGTGCTAGAAACGGCACGTTGAAGGTACTACTATCGCAGATTAGTAATAGTTTCCAGTTAGGTAGACCCAGGGCCGGATTTAGGATTGTGGAGGCCCCGGGCCACTTAGGATTTGTATGCTAGTTAACCCATCGAAATTTTGTTATCTTTTATCCTGTTGTGGAGGCCCCGGGACACTTAGGATTTGCATGCTTGTCGACCTATCGATTTTTTTTAAGCTGTCGTGGAGGCCCCTGGGCCACAGCCCCACCTGCCCTGCCTTTAATTCAGCCCTGAGATTAATATAATCAAATAATCATGTATGTTAGATGTACAAAGTACTGTAGGCTGTAGGTAAAGGTAAAAGAGCAAAAAAAATATCAAAGGAAAAGATGTTTACTAGTGTTTACTAGTTGGATTTTGGAAGATTTTTTTTCCGAAGTCTATTGTGGGGGCCCCCCGTTTGTGGAGGCCCCGGGGCTTTCGCCCCGGTTGCCCTCCCCTAAATCCGGCAGTGGCTAGACCAGTCACTTGGACATATGCTGATTGATTCATTTATCAAAGCAATTAAAGATATTTTGTATGTTGTAATGATGACTATGATGATGTAACGACATGGTGCCATAAAATCTTAATAAGTCAATAAGACATGAATTTCCTTGATGATACATTATATCAGCACCCCCATGCTTTCTTCAAGTTTAATTCCAACCTCCGGTGTTTTATTGCGTAGGTAATATTTTTGGAGACGCATCATTAATTTTGACCAGACTCCAGTATAAATAGAGATAAGACCAGGAAGAGTAGAGGAAAGTCGCTATGAACCTCAAAATATTAAGTAAATGCTTAAAGTTTTGAGGTTAAATAAACCCACATTTAGCCATTCAGACACAGGAAACTACCGTGGAAATTCCATTCAGGTCTTCCATTTTCAATAAAAACCTACAGCTTCGATTGAATCCATTCGTGTTAAATCATTCCATTCCCTTTGGGACAGGTGTGGAATTTCAACACAGGCGTATGTCTGAGGGACATGACGATCGAACACATGTGTGAAGTTACCAACTGCTTTTGGGTGGAAGGAAGGTACTTACTTCAGCTCTGATTTATTGTGGTCTCCAGCACTCATCAGTTTTTTTTAACATATGGAACGCAAACTAACTCACGGTCCGCCTGGGTGAACTGTCATGCTGACCTTTAAGGAAATGTTAGCACAATCGTAGCAAAATACCCCGGTCACGAAGATAGCTGATGCAGCTATTCCTAACTCGTCGACCTTAACCCAATCCTTTATCTCGTGGAGTTCTAGATCATTAATCATCAATTAAACAATACTATCCCGGATATTACAGGCGTCTATAGGCCTCGGTGGCCATCAAGTTTGCCCTTTTAACGCTGTCAATTCTATGCAGTTGCATACAGAATTACAATTTCGTAAGAACTAGGTATTCAGTCACTGAAGTAAGAATGATGCTAGTATTCGCTACTACGAGTGAATTGTTGGTGTAAAAAACTACTTTAAGTTATAATTTTTATTATTTTAAAGCATGTAACTGCTTGATGTTTAAATCTAAAGAAAATATAACTAGAAAAAATTCCACGCGGACCAGGCAGCAGATGGGACTCGAACCTGCAACCTTCGCAATCCGGACGAATGCACTGACCAATTATGCTACCGCGGCCCTCACGGACCGCGTCGAATTTTTATTAGCCATTCTTAAGCTGCAAGGCAGCGCCATCTCTTCGCATTGTACCAACCCACAATGTCAAATGAATACTTTTACAAGTATTAAACATTTGAAAGAAGAAATAGCAATTATAGTTATAATTTTTATTATTTTAAAGCATGTAACTGCTTGATGTTTAAATCTAAAGAAAATATAACTAGAAAAAAAAACTACTTGAAGTTAGAAAATGTGAAATGCTAGGATCCTGGCGGTGGGCTGGAACAAACATGTGACAGAGTTTGAAGACACGGGCACTGCCAGCACGGGCAAGAGCTGGGAGACTCGGCACACGGACGATGTGCTGGCGGCAGCTGCGCGCGCGCCGCTCATGCTCGCCACTTCTTCATACAACTCCGAGCTCATCCTGTGGAAGCTGGAGACCGGGCAGCCGTACAGGTGACGATGTAGTGGCATACGTGTTATATTCTTGATTATAAATTTATTGGAGTTTACTCCTTAAGAATCGATTTGCATATATAAGGGGCCCGGTATGAGAAAAATGTGAGGAGTAAAATCTATCGATGAATGACCTCGTTACGTTTTTGGTGCGCATCCTACGTCACGCAACTTTGACAAACAAATTTGTTTCTTAGGTTTTCACGCACATCACTCATTAAATAAAACTAGTTTTACGGGTTAATGCACGAAACTTTATTTATTTATTGACGTTTCGCAGCCTTTTCAGGTCTTCTGACGATGCAGACCTGAAAAGGCTGCAAAACGTCAATAAATAAATAAAGTTTCGTGCATTAACCCGTAAAAACTAGTTTTATTTATTTGACAAACAAAGATGATGGATTGACATTAATAAAAATTTATCAACATTCCTAATGATATATTTATGCACATCTGAAATTGATTATTGTAAAAAGTTTAATGTAAAATATTTCGTCGATTAGTTATAATAAATGTATATGAAATGAATAAATATATATTTATGTATGTATATTATTTTCATTAATTTGTTAATTTGCCCTTTCATACAGTATCAATCTTTTTTAAGTTAAATAAACTCTTTTTGCGTCTGGTTAGACTATCGAACTTAAGGAGTAAACTCCAGTCGTGCGTTATAGCTGACACACACAATTTTTATTCTGCAAGTTCCGTAATCGCGAAAGGTTTTCAAATTGAAATTATGAATGGAATTCAGATGCTTATTGCTTTTCTATCTGGCGCTTTGTTCTGTTTTAACCTATCCTGCTCAAGGCTCGACGCAACATGCTATATGTATGTAAAATTCGGTTTTATTTCGCTCTTGAGCTTCTCTTTATACTTGGTTGATTATCCTTTAGTTGAGGCTATGAGGATATGAGGCGGAACTTAAAAACTTCTGTAGTAAAAAGTAATCTAAGAAAAAGATTGAGAATATATTGTGTTAGAAATAGCGGCGGCCAGAATAAGTTCCATACATTTTTTTTTAGAAAAGTGCTTCAAAGTTAAGAACACTTGGTGAAAATTCTTTAGTTATAACCGTTGTCGAGCAGTTTTTTAAGCCGTTAGAAGTAGGTTCAGTTTTTATTCATTATTTTTATTGCCTGACATGTTTTCTAACTAGATACATTAAAAAATCGGACCTTTGGAGCTCTAGTTCCAAAAAAATCGACAAAACCCCAAAAAATATAGGATTTTTAAAAAAAAATCTTTAATATCCAATATTTCCATAACGGTTAAGTTTCGGACACCATATTATAGGACCAAATCCATCAGAAATGACCTGAATAATAACGTTCTTCAATATTCAGTACGACTTTCCCTGTAACCCTGTATATCACACCTATCAAAGTTCCTTTCTTTTTCTGCTTATTTTAAAGTCTTGTAGGCTTCCAGGTTGTAGGAAACGCATGTTTCTGTAGATAGTCTCATTTCACCAGTATTTGAGTGAGTGTTGGCATCAGCTTATTTGTCGGACAGGCGGTTCTCGTGCACGGACCCGACGCTGCGCATTAAGATGCACTATAACAAGCGGGACGCGTCGCGTAGCGCTTCCCCGCCCGCCGGCGCCGCCGCCAATGCAGCGCGCCGCCGGAACTCCTCCATCAAGCGGATCAGGTATTTACACCTTTTCAGTGTCAAAATACTGTACCTTGGTTTCATCATCATCATCATCAGCCTATTAATGTCCCCACTGCTGGGGCACAGGCCTTCCCTATGGGTGGATTAGGGAGATTGGGCCATGACCCACCACGCGGGCCCTGTGCGTGTTGGTAGGTGCTAACGACTGCAGATGCAACCGGGACTAACGGCTTAACGTGCCTTCCGAAGTACGGAGGAGCTCGAGATAGTAACTTTTTGGTTACCCATCCAATGACCGACCACTGCGAAAGTTGCTCAACTTCAACGACCGCAGCCGAACGCGCTGACCACTGGCGCCATCGAGCTCCTCAAGTGCCTTGGTTTATTCGTAATCAATAAATCATTCTAGTTTCTTTAATTTTACGAGGTTTTCAGAAAAGTGAAAGATTTTGATGGATCTTGTTTGGTTTAGTTGAAATACACGAACATGGGGCACATGGAAATGTAATAGAATAGCAATATAAAAATAAAAAATGGACATGTGCTGTTCACATACGATAGAAGTAAAACCTACAAAACTGTGGACATATAAAAGTCCTTTAGGACTAAGTACGTCTTAAAGACAACAAACTCTCTTTTTATACTTAAGTTGTTTTGAAATTGGTGTCGACCCGAGATTGTTACCGTGCGGCTATCTGTCTCTTATAGGAAACAATAAAATGACGGATACCTATCTTGTGTCAAATACTCTACTTCCGTTTCATCGAATCTCAAGTCACAACGATACTAAAGAAGTTTTCACTTCAAAATTCGATAGTTTCGAAGTTTTGTAACTTAAAGGGTCATACATAATACTTAGTACCACAAAACTATCCTTATTAAGTATGGATCTACCACTGACTCCATGGGCTGTGGACCTACTGTCATTTGTTTTATCTGAACTAGCCGTGCCCCGCGGTTTCACCCGCGTTTTTCACGTTTCCGTGGAAATACCGAGATAAAATATATAGGTACCAACTCTTAACATCTTACACACGTGATAACTTTTAAACGAAATATCCCATTGAGATGAAACAAAAAGTATTTTACTTCTACATAAATACTCTTGATAACATAATGCTTAATTTCGATAAAGATAAATATTACGATACATATTTAACGTAGTTTTTTTTCTTCAGACGATTTAATAATTATTTTGAACACAAAATCGGTTATTGTGATTAAACCATGATAGCTAGATATATGTTCTCGCGGACTTTTTGGAGGTCTCAATGGGATCTACAAACCCGTAGTACATCATTTTGTTCTATTGTCAATAGTTTTCGCAGCCTATAGCCTTCCTCGATAAATGGACTACCCAACACTGAAAGAAACATTCAAATCGGACCGGTAGTTTCAGAGATTAGCGCGTTCAAACGAACAAACAAACTCTGCAGCTTTATAATATTGGTGTATGTTCGCGCCTACTCAAATGTTCGCAGCAAACCCGCACATATCAAGCTCAAGGTTTTAATTATAAAGGATCTTCCGTATACGGCATTCATCTTTCAACTTTTGTACTTGTTACTCACCTACTTTGCTCATTATAGTTTAAAATTTTATATCCGTTTGTTTTAATTAATGGCATCTCCTGCGAGGCAAATCTATACGCCGACAGTGTAGATATTTGTCATTACGCGACGTGCGGTGCGTTACAGTGTGTGCGGTCCCCGCCCAGGCCCGGACGCGAGCGCGGCGATAGCGAAGGCTCGTGCGCGGCGCGTGTCGTGCGTGCCGCTGCCCCCCTCCGCGCGCGTGCGCCTCCTCGCCGCGCACGCCATGCTCGTGCTGGCCGCGCGCGCCTGCCACATGCACGCCGGTACGCGCACTGGAGTATGGGTGCGGCCAGAGTGCACTCAGATTCAGATTCAGATTCTGAAAACAAGCGCGAGAAATAAACAGTGTAGTCGAAGGGTACGGCCAGAGTGCACTCCTGATTCAGACTCAGAAAACAAAGCGCGAGAAAAAGCAGGCAACCTGCTTAGACTACACTGTTTATTTCTCGCGCTTGTTTTCAGAATCTGAATCTGAGTGCACTCTGGCCGCACCCTAATGCGATTCAAAGAAGAATAGGAAAGCCAATGACCTCTGTCTGTTAAATGTCGCTTGAAAAGTACGGTTTGCAAAAAAAAACCTTGGAACCAGGGCCGGATTTAGAGGTCCGGAGGCCTCGGGGCAACGGAGGAGCGGAGGCCCCCTCACCCCAAATTATTTTCCAAATAAAGTAAACGATTTTTTTTCAGTCCAGTTTTTGACGTGACAACGTCTTAAATTAGGTTGCGGCTGGGAGTCACTTATGAAAAAGTGTAACGCTCGGTAACGTTACGATGAGTCTCTCGTGTTAAGTTTAAGTTTACATGTACAATGTTTTAGTAAACAAAATATATTTCTATAGTTAAAATTTGTGCAATTCTTATTTTCATTCAATTCCTTGTTCCTATTGTGCAATTTAATTATATTCATATCAATAAATATTCTACCGAGAAAAAGACGTTGTCACGTAAAATCTTCGCCCGTAAAACCGACTTTACAGGCAACCATTTTTTTTATTTATAGAACAATAACGGCATCCGAACAAAAATAATTCCTTTTAATTGATGTGGTAAATAAAAAAACTTCTTTATTCGCACTATTTTTAATATTTCGTCGATTTATGAGGTCAATACCCAGTGCATTTCAGTATATTTCGGAACAATTCACCAGTATAGCGTCGATTCATGACGTCATTAGCACTGGCCCGTATACTGGTATATATTACGGAATATACTCTGAGATGAGTAGGATTGGGTAAAGTCGATACCTATTCCAAGTAATCCTAATATTAAAAAATACCTATTTCTAATATTTATGCAGTATTGCCAATTCCGCATACGTACGACGATACGATATTATGTGTATTCAATGTGTATTAGGTATGAATTGGATTTTGATTGATTTGGATATGTATTATGAAAATAACATATACTCCCTGTCTTTTTCTGTACTAGGTTAATAAAATATAAATATAATGTTTTAATATTGTGCATTTTTTTCTCTCTAGTATGTGAGTATTGTTCTTTGCGATCCTCATACCATTATTTCCCATATTTTTTTCTTTTTGTGCAATGACAGATAGAAAAAGAACAAACAATACATATTAATTATTTGTGTTTTGTATCAAAAATTATAAAATAACGCCACATAGTGTTGTACAAATTCATCGCGTTTTACGTAAAATTTATCTAGATGGCGTTAGTGATGGTAATACATAATCGTAATCCTACCTCCAATCCAGTAAATATCAAATTACGTTGTCACGTAAAATCTTCGCCCGTAAAACCGACTTTACAGGCAACCATTTTTTCAATAAATAATTTATTGTGAACCAAGTATAGAACAACACATATAAATATGAACGGAAACAAGAATTATCTGAAATTAAATCTTAGAGTTAACGAACGGAACCAAAAAGATGTTTACTAGTGTTTACTAGTTGGAATTTGGAAGATTTTTTTCCGAAGTCGTTTATGGAGGCCCCGGGGCTTTCGCCCCGGTTGCCCTCCCCTAAATCCGGCAGTGCTTAGAACCCTTTTTTAGCACTCCGCTAATTGAAGAATAAAAACCAAACATTTGTAAACAAACAATAACAAATATTGATAATTAATATCGGTTGATATTTTTTTTTCACATATTAAGCTTTGGCCATGAATGGTTGATAACCTAAATCATTAACCAAATGTCACTTTAAGTTGCGTTCAAAAACTCGAATTCAAACTTTCGTTTACGGATGCATGTTCGTATATGACTAGTAATAGTGCATGATTATTCATAACTACTCCGGCGGTAATGCAGAGATGAGCGGAATAGAATGAGCTAGATTCTGATTAATGTCTTTTCTGACAGTCTTAATAAATAAATATTATTAAAAATCGGTGATGGTTTCTCAATCTTGGTAAAAACATGTTATTAAAAAATCTGATGCTTTCTCTCACTTAATCTTCATAAATAAGATTGATACTATAAAGAGTTTTTTTGCTCACTCTACCTATTTCGTTTGAATTGACAGCTATGACATCACAATATGGCGCCTAGTCGGTCCTATTCTTAGTTGAATCGCATTATACAATCTCACCTTGTTTATGTTGGGAAATTGCGAGAAGTACACCCCGCCCCTGGGTGAGAGACGAGGTTATGTGGGTCTCCTCCTCCCCCCAAATCCCGTCCCCTCATGGTACCGCACGGCCTGCACGGTATTTGCATACCGAGCTTAGTTAATACCATATATATGATTTAACAAAAGTATCGAAAATATACTGGCCGAGTGACGACCTCCGTGGCCGAGTGGTTTGTACGCTGGGTTTCATGATGTCGCCGACTCGAGAGGTCCCGGGTTCGAATCCCGGTGGGGGCAGATGTTTGTGTGATGAATACGAGCATTTGTACTCCAGTCATGGATGTTTAATATGTATTTCTATATGAATATTCTTATATATGTACAGTATATGTATTCTATCCGTTACCCTAGTATCCCATAACACAAGCCTGCAGTGCTTACTTTGGGGCTAGGCTAATTGGTATGAGTGTTGGAAATATTTATTATTATTTATTACTGCTTATCCTACACCTGCGTGAACAAGATTTGGTACTAAATTAGCGTTAAAGCATTGAATTAAGTACACTCCTTCAGCTGCACATACAAATTTATCGTCTCCTACAACCTCTTTTGCGTTGCGTGTCAAATTATCAGCAGTCAAGCTATCGTCGAGCGAGTATATAGAGAAGACACGCAGCATAATTCATTACGACAGAATCAATTTAACCTAACTTACTTAACGGAATGGGTTTCGTGGGATCCGAATACTCCACGTTACGCGTAGCAGAGAATCCTCCTCACCCTTGCGGTTAGAGGGATGCCCGAAAGCACCTGGGTACCCCCTCGATGGGTGTGCGTACAATGTCACCTGATCCTTAAACTGTCTCATTAAGCTACCTAGATTAGCTTGTTGAAATTCTAGTCCTTCTTTTGGTTGTAATGTATTTCTATCGGAGAACAAAGATTTCCAGAGTGCCACGGGAGATGGGATCAGGATTGACGTGTTAGCTAGAATTCTAAAAGACTCTGATGACAGCGTTACCAACAGACGTCTTATTACACAAAAACAAATAATTACGCTGCTGGCAGTGTCATCACTTCAAGTTGAAGGTAACTACATATAATCCCGAATGTGATACTTTTTTAAATACCATACAGTCAAACCTGAAAGACTAGGTACAGATTGGGATCCCACTGATGTACGCTTTGAAAATTTATTAATATCACATCCGGCATATAATTTGAATATACACTACAAACAGTTCCATATTCACACACCAGCGACGCTGATGCTGTCTCTGGAGAACGGGCAGGTCCAGGGCTGGTCGGAGCACCCGGCGGGTGGCTTCCAGGGCTCGTTCCAGGGGATACATACTCCAGGGGACTACGTGGCAGCAATGGCCACGGATCCTGACAACCAGTACCTCTTCACCGGCACCACTGTGGGATACATCAAGGTCTGGCTCATGACCAACTACCTAACGCCGGAGAAGGTAATTATTGCAGTTTTATTACCATTTAGTGCTTCCCGGGCTCGTTCTAATCCAGGGCATCCACACTCCCGGTGAATACGTGGCGGCGGACCCCAACCACCATCAAGGTCTGGCTTATGACCAACTGCCTCACGCCGGAGAAGGTTATGATTGGTGTTTGGTAAAAAACTAAAAAATAAGTAAAACCAAATCTCATCATGAAATGTGTGATGCAATTCAACTAATCATGTTTCACATCTTGTCTTTTCAATAATTTTATGAATTGTCGAAAATAATTAAGTTTTTATATGAACGGACGGATAAACAATGTCAATTTAAATGCGGGTATCGCTCGGTCCATTATACAGGGTGTTACAAAAATACAAATAAAGCTTGAAGGGCGTTGAAGTACAACATATAAGGAGACTTTAATTTTCTTAAAATATTTGCATGAAGTTTTAACTTTTTATAATAACAGTTATTTTTAATGATCCTCGAACTAGTGACGTGTCTTAAAATGATCGATATTCTTATTAATCATTTCTAAATAACTGTTTTGACGTGACAACGTCTTAAATTAGGTTGCGGCTGGGAGTCACTTATGAAAAAGTGTAACGCTCGGTAACGTTACGATGAGTCTCTCGTGTTAAGTTTAAGTTTACATGTACAATGTTTTAGTAAACAAAATATATTTCTATAGTTAAAATTTGTGCAATTCTTATTTTCATTCAATTCCTTGTTCCTATTGTGCAATTTAATTATATTCATATCAATAAATATTCTACCGAGAAAAAGACGTTGTCACGTAAAATCTTCGCCCGTAAAACCGACTTTACAGGCAACCATTTTTTTTACATAAAAATAACTGTGTGTATGCATGTGGTCGGGATTGCTGTTGTTAATATCATAGACTTAGTAGTCAATATAATATTCCAGCAACACGTGAGCATGCCCCGTCTGCGGCTCACGTTCCCGTTCCTGTGGCGGGACCGCGTGGAGGGCCGCGCCAAGCGATGCGTGCGCGACCAGCCCCTGCCACTGCTGCTCAACTCCTACCGCGCGCACCTGCGCTGCGTCACCACGCTGGCCTACGTGCCGCCCCACCAGCTGCTGCTCAGGTATCCCCCCCCCCCCCCCCCCACTGCTGCTCAACTCCTACCGCGCGCACCTGCGCTGCGTCACCACGCTGGCCTACGTGCCGCCCCACCAGCTGCTGCTCAGGTATCCCCCCCCCCCCCCCCACTGCTGCTCAACTCCTACCGCGCGCACCTGCGCTGCGTCACCACGCTGGCCTACGTGCCGCCCCACCAGCTGCTGCTCAGGTATCCCCCCCCCCACTGCTGCTCAACTCCTACCGCGCGCACCTGCGCTGCGTCACCACGCTGGCCTACGTGCCGCCCCACCAGCTGCTGCTCAGGTATCCCCCCCCCCCCCCCCCCCACTGCTGCTCAACTCCTACCGCGCGCACCTGCGCTGCGTCACCACGCTGGCCTACGTGCCGCCCCACCAGCTGCTGCTCAGGTATCCCCCCCCCCACTGCTGCTCAACTCCTACCGCGCGCACCTGCGCTGCGTCACCACGCTGGCCTACGTGCCGCCCCACCAGCTGCTGCTCAGGTATCCCCCCCCCCCCCCCCCCCACTGCTGCTCAACTCCTACCGCGCGCACCTGCGCTGCGTCACCACGCTGGCCTACGTGCCGCCCCACCAGCTGCTGCTCAGGTATCCCCCCCCCCCCCCCCCCCACTGCTGCTCAACTCCTACCGCGCGCACCTGCGCTGCGTCACCACGCTGGCCTACGTGCCGCCCCACCAGCTGCTGCTCAGGTATCCCCCCCCCCCCCCACTGCTGCTCAACTCCTACCGCGCGCACCTGCGCTGCGTCACCACGCTGGCCTACGTGCCGCCCCACCAGCTGCTGCTCAGGTATCCCCCCCCCCCCCACTGCTGCTCAACTCCTACCGCGCGCACCTGCGCTGCGTCACCACGCTGGCCTACGTGCCGCCCCACCAGCTGCTGCTCAGGTATCCCCCCCCCACCACTGCTGCTCAACTCTAAAGAATTCTCACATTATTTTTTACTACTAAAAATTGCGTTTGTTTAACTTCATAGCGGCAGTTCTGACTACAGCGTGCGCGTGTGGCGTTTGTCGGGCGAGTACGTGCACACGCTGGGCAGCTTCGTGCCGCACGCGCCGGGGCCGCGGGACGTGCGCTACCCGCCCGACGTGCGCAAGGTGGCCAGCTTCACCACCTTCAAGGTATGGCGTTATGTTTGCTATCATTTGTATGCGAAGCGCAACAAAAGCTGAAGCACGAATTTATGTAAAAAATTCTCTAAAAGACTCCATAACATATCGTCTTCGTCTAATCTTGTATGGAAACGGCTAGTTTGTACTTACGTCCGATAAGTATCTTTTTGCATCTTTTTACTACTTCTAATTCTATGTCTTTAATTACCCAATGAGAATAAATAAAAAATATTAAATGTACAAATAAAAAACCCGGCCTGAAACCCATCCGTTGAGGACTCCTTGAACCTTGCTCATCAACAGAAACACGATACACACTACCGAAGGTAGTGTTATTTTACTATATCACTGTGCCAGTGAAATGGAAATATTGAAAATGGAAATTTGTCATATTGGACAGGACGAACGCCGATTTGAAAAAAAAAACTAAAAAGACGAACTCGTAAAAAACACAACATGACAGCGTCCACTACAAATAAGTAGTTTGTATAGTACTTATTGGATTTTCCGTTTTTTTCTTTTAATATAATCTAAAGATTTATCAAATTGATTGTTCCTAGCTTAAACAACAAATGACTTGCAAAACATAAGGTAAGCCGTTCCGTATGTTATAAGGTATGGCGCGGCGGCTACGTTTCGCGCTACGTCCCCGGTCAGGTGGAGGTGGATAAGCTGCGCGACATCACGGAGACCGAGCTGCGCTCGCGCACATACGGCGCGCCCGCACCCGAGCCGTTGCTAGGCAACTACTTCCGGCTACCCTCGCGACCAGAGCGGCAGCTGCCTGTGCTATTAGACGACTCCTTGCAAACGGTGAGTGTTCTCATCAGTCTTGCTGGTCCGAAACCAACACTATCCCGTGGAACTATTTTATTTATTTGATTAGGAACACATACAGCAATACATATCATACATTACAAAGTGATTAATAACATAAACACAATTATTATATGTTTGCCAGTTACAAGTGTTCACAGCATTCAATATTAAAATGACAGTATTTTTGACTACATTAAAAAAACAATTAAATTATTAAATTAGAGTAAGATTAAAATTTGATAAAAAAATGAATTAATAAATTGGATTAGTAAATTAAAATTCATATTAAACTATAGAACTATAGGTTGAGCTGTGCCCGAGAATCGCGACCCGAGCTACAGCTGCCTGTATTACAAGACACACACAGAAAAATGATATTCTTGCTGGCTAACTCCTAAACAATAACAACACAACCAAGAACAGTTTTGAGTGGAAATTCTCAAAGCCCTGTTTGTCTAACTTTATATGACTGCTGACTTATATCTAGCTAATAAATCAACTACCTGCGTAGCTAGATGACGCCAGTTTTATACAAAGCACAGCATATTACCCCATTCCATCTGATACTTGATTCAAATGCAAATAAAGAAAAGTGTATCTCATTCAAACCATTTTTACCGGCGTGAATCTTACTCTATCCCGTGGAGCTATAGAACTCAAGGGCAAACTGCGCCAAACGTATTTTTGGATGACTCGTTACAAACCATGAGTTCAAATCTAGTCGACAACATACATAGCAAAGGCGACAGAAAAGTTTGTCACGACAGTCATCTTGCTGGCCTGAAGTCCAACAGAAATCAACAAAAAATTATTAGAGCAGTAATTCGGAATGTCTTCTTACGCTCACGCTCGCCGTGAATTTCGAGTTAAAAAATCAATAAACAATATAAGCAGTTTTCGATATGCAGAGCAACCATGCAGCTTAGCAGTCCAAACGAAATGTGAAAAGGTAGCTCAGAAATTATTGAAACGACGACCTGAATATCAAATTATGGTTCTTTAATTCATTTGTTAAAATCGTACTTTGGGTTTTCTAACGAATCATGGACATCCGTTTGTGAAAAAAAACATATTTCGTCGAAGGCAAATATGGCTCAAACGGTTTTGAATGGTTTTTTTTTTATGTTATAGGGGGCATACGAGCAGACGGTTCACCTGATGGTAAGTGATCACCGTCGCCCATGGACACTTGCAACACCAGGAGTATCACAAATGCGATGCCGGCCTTTAAGGAAGGAGTACGCTTTTTTTTTGAAGGTTTTTGGGTCGTATCGGTCCGGAAACACTGCTGGCGACAATATATTCTACAGTTTTGTCGTACGTGGGAAAAATTTCGCCAAAAACGCACGGTTGTGGATAGCCACGCATCAAGATGATGGGGATGAAATTTTTGTCGGGATGTAGGTACGGTGGCGAAATGCAGCAGCTGGAATTAATCCGAACAATTCCTCAGAACACTCCCCGTGATAAATGCGATAGAAGATGCAGAGCGAAGTTACAGCTATGCCAGCTTCCCTTTGTAGCTTTGTACTCCTCTTTCAATAATATCCTCCTATATTGCATTGGTCAGATTCCGTTGTACGCGCACCTGCGCATGGCGTCGACGCTGCCGGTGCGTCGGCCGGCCACGCCGCCGCTGGTGCGCGCCACGCGCCTGCGCGAGCACCACGCGCGCAAGCCGCACTTCCAGGGGGACCTCGACTGATCGCAGCGCGATGCTAGCTTAAGAGGGGCAATATTTTTTCCATATAAACATTCTCGACTGATACCCAGTGGCGGGGCCAGACCTAAATTTGATGTGAGCAAGACAGATTTCGCGAGGCCCTGTTCTGTGGCGACCTGGAGACGGATTTTATAAATTAAAAAAAAATCGCTTTTAAGCAATGCATAAAATTTTTTGAGGCGCGAGGCCCCTTGTACCGTGAGGCCTACTTGATTTTTACCACTAAAGAATTGATTTTCATACATACAATATAATTTTACTCATTCTATGCGTCTAGGTCTGCCTTTTTTCGATAACTTGTGTTTCATAGAAACCAGAAGCCCTCGAATAAGGCCGAAAATAAACAATTTTTTTATCACCACTAAAGAGTTTTAGTGTGGAGATGTAATACGCATTTACAAAGAAATCAAAACATAGGGGCATAGTATAACTTCTTATTATTCTTTGTGTAAAATTTCTTTCACATATATCTAATTTTCAAGGAGGAAATCGTCGAGTCGTATATTGCAATTTTTATTCGTAATTTTATTTGCATAATATTTGCCAATGCATGACAGCAAAAGTGTTTTCAAATACGTATTTCACAAATGTATCTCAACTCGCGTCCGCTCTTAACTAGGGTGGGCAATATTACGCTTAGAAACCTCTCTGCTCACCCTAAACTTTGATTGTCAATAAATGCCTATAGTACCCTTAGGACAAACCATTCGGTCTCGATACCCGTCAAATGTCTAAAAGTTTTGTATAGAAGATTTTTAATTCTCGTTGCGTCCGTTATGCCTCTGTTCAAATTCCCGTATAAAACTTCTTGACGCTTCACGCGTATTGCGATCGAATTCCAATTCGATATTAGTTCGTGCTAAGGGTACAGATCAGCTGGACGACGCAAATACTGGTCGCGACATGTAACTCTAGCGCTGAACAAAACGCGTCAGGGATAGCTGCGCATGGGTACGACTGGAGACAGTGGCGGGGCAAGACCTAAATTTGATGTGGGCAAGACAGATTTCGCGAGGCCCTGTTCTGCGGCGACCTGAAGACGGATTTTATATAAAAAAATTATACGCTTTTAAGCAATGCATAAAAATTTTTGAGGCGCGAGGGCCCCTTGTACCGCGAGGCCGTAGGCGGTGGCCCACGTCGCCCACGCCTTACGCCGCCTCTGACTGGAGAGACAATACATGAATGGATACACCCGCGCACCTCGTTTCCCCCCAGACATTTTAATTTTTACTTCTGCGCAATAACGGTCAACGCTTGAGTTTCGTGCCGCGACTCATAACTACACATTAAACTAGATGTGCGTTAGGTATCGACCTGGCAGTACCTGCTCAGTTGCGTCCGCTGTTTACTCTACAACCCCTCATAATTGAATCGCACTATAAACTTTTCACACTTAATACTACGCGTTCGCTTCGAGTTGACCGCTCCCAGCCTCCCCGCCTCACCGCACCGTGCTCCTAAACACTATGGGTGTATTCCGAATCAAATACCAGTACGCCGGCCAGTGGTAATGACGTCATGATTTCGACGTCATATTACTTCTTCTTAGTCGGGCACTCTTGTCAGAGTGGTCGTGGTTGCACTAATAAGGTACATGGTGGGGTGTTCTTTGGGTCGCTATCAATTCCGAGGGTAGCTCTCCTGGCGATGTGCTTCCATTTCTGACGGTTCGAGGCGTCGCGAGTACACTGGACTATGGTAGACTCAGTAGCCTTTGTGATGGCGTCTATCCAGCGGGTTGGTGATCGACCGCGTGCTCTCTTGCCTTCCACCTGGCCTTGAACCACCAGCCTTTCCAACGAATTCTCATTTCTAGAGATGTGACCAAAGTCTACTACTACTACACCATTGCAATATGGCGTCGAAATCATGACGTCATTACCGTTGGCCAGCGTACTGGTTTATATTTCGGAATATAGTCACATATAGTCGACTATATCAGCTGATGTGTCTGTGATTGACCTGTGACCTCGTTTTGTAACGGTCATCGACGGCCAACTCGAAACCAACGGGTAGTAGAATGTAGCCAAAAACAGGGTCCGCAGTAAGTGTGAGAGGGAGGAAGCGAACGTGCAACCAATATTTCGTATACGTATGGACTGCATCATGGGCTCCTCTCTTTCTAGACATTCATCATCATCATCTACTATATTTTATAATTATATAACTATATTTTAGACATCTTAGTCACAATATCGACTTCTATCAATAAAACATCTCTATAATAGATAGAAAAGAATCATCATCAGCCTATTAATGTTCTCACTGCTGGGGGCACAGGCCTTCCCTATGGATGGAATAGGGAGATAGGGCCATGACCCACCACGCGGGCCCAGTGCGATTGGCGGGTGCTAACGACTGCAGATACAGCCGGGACCAACGGCTTAACGTGTCTAGAAAAGAATATTTAAATGTAATTGTCATTTTTATTCGAAATAGACGCAATTTCGATTATGTATTGATAATGAAATAGATCTGTGTACGTCAGAATGGAATAAATAAAACAATCATTTGTCTAACCTTGTCATTTATTACATATTTTCATATAAGAAGTGTATCCCGAAAATATACATCTAAAATTAGTTCCAATGTTTTCCACTCTACAGTTTCCAATGTAGCAGCAGCGGCCTACACAACCAAAAGAATATTAAAAACATTTTTGTTAGTAGTATTCAATGAATTGCCCCTAAAAATAAGTTAAGTATAAAAAACTGACCAATCAGGCGTTGTTGCTTTCGCATCTTGCTCAATTTGACGTTGAAGCTACTTCCATCTAGCGGCATTTATTGGAATTACATAAGAGTCAATGTTCCTTACGATAGTTTGTCACTTTTAACAACGTTTTTTATACTTAACTTATTTTAACGTTATTTTGCACTTGCGTCGTTGTAATTCTAAAGGTGCGATGTTTTCTATGAACGTGAGCCAATTAGATCAAATGCATTCGTGAGAAAGAAATACGATTATTAAGGATTCTTGCGCATCGGAAGACCGGCATCCTACCAATACTTCATCATTGATAAAAATATACAAATCATGAAAACTTATAGAAATTTGCATCACATCTTTAAAGCAGGATTGAGAATGTCCTTTTGTCTCTACGGCTGACTATTTTAAGCTGTGACCGGTGCTTGCTGTGTTACCGACATTACAAAAAGGTGTTATGTTGTCATATTGAACAGAAGTTCAGGTTGTAAACTAGTTGGTTGGTAATTTATTGTTGTTTCGCTTGGTGCCGCTGAGCTCAATGTAGGCGGACCGTGTCTCGCGTTGGTTGGTCAGTTGTTGTTGTCTCACGTTGATTGGTCAGTTGTTGTTGTCTCGCGTTGGTTGGTCAGTTGTTGTTGTATCGCGTTGTTTGGCTAGTTGTTGCTGCCTCGCGGTGATTGGTTAGTTGTTGTTGTCTCACGTTGATTGGTCAGTTGTTGTTGTCTCGCGTTGATTGGTCAGTTGTTGTTGTCTCGCGTTGATTGGTCAGTTGTTGTTGTCTCGCGTTGGTTGGTCAGTTGTTGTTGTATCGCGTTGGTTGGTCAGTTGTTGTTGTCTCGCGTTGGTTGGTCAGTTGTTGTTGTATCGCGTTGTTTGGCTAGTTGTTGCTGCCTCGCGGTGATTGGTTAGTTGATGTTGTCTAGCGTTGATTGGTTAGTTGATGTTGTCTCGCGTTGGTTGGTCAGTTGTTGTTGTCTCGCGTTGTTTGGTTAGTTGTTGTTGTATCGCGTTGTTTGGCTAGTTGTTGCTGTCTCGCGGTGATTGGTCAGTTGTTGTTGTCTAGCGTTGATTGGTTAGTTGATGTTGTCTCGCGTTGATTGGTTAGTTGTTGTCTCGCGTTGATTGGTTAGTTGTTGTTGTCTCGCGTTGGTTGGTCAGTTGTTGTTGTATAGCGTTGGTTGGTCAGTTGTTGTTGTATAGCGTTGATTGGTTAGTTGATGTTGTCTCGCGTTGGTTGGTCAGTTGTTGTCTCGCGTTGGTTGGTCAGTTGTTGTCTCGCGTTGGTTGGTCAGTTGTTGTCTCGCGTTGGTTGGTCAGTTGTTGTTGTCTCGCGTTGGTTGGTCAGTTGTTGTTGTCTCGCGTTGGTTGGTCAGTTGTTGTTGTCTCGCGTTGGTTGGTTAGTTGTTGTTGTCTCGCTTGGCGCCGCTGAGCACGATGTAGGCGGACTGGGTCTCTCGCTGCTTCTCCTGCAACATCTGCAGCGTGTTGAGGGGAGTGTCCGTCGAACTCATCTTCTTCATCAGCTGAGGGGAATAAGAAGAATAAAATGTTGATTTAATGGGTTAATTAGTAACAAATGATCTTGTTGTGGAAATATATCATATCGTCAGAAGAAATATGTAATAAATTGAGATTGGATAAACGGATGCATATTTACTTTTTTGGCTAACAAGTTATGGAAGCGAATTCTTAGGATACTTTTATTAAAAATAAAATCCCAAGATTTTGTAATTGCATATCTAATCGGATATATATTTACTTAAAGTTAAATTTTCATTTCCCATTCGAGTATGTGTATGCGAGTTGTAAGAGAAATGGGGTTGTTAACAACAGAACAAAATTTATTTATTAAAGATATCTTACAGAATATTTTTATGTTACACACACAGGGCAAATGTCATTTGTATCAATCTGGGTTTATTAGATCTCACCATAGAATCTTTATAGTTATTTCAACTTTCCGATTTCATCCGATTATCAGATCTCTACTAATAACATAATTAATATTTATATCATTTCAATACTTGAAAATATAAGTAGTTCATTATAAAGCAGTACTACAAACAATTCCATTACAATGCTTCTGGTATGACAAGCGTACCTACATACATTTCGGACTTGCATTCATTGTCAAAAACTGAAACCTCATGATCAACAAGAAAGTTTAGTATAGAAAATATAACTAGAAAAAAATCCACGCGGACCAGGCAGCAGACGGGACTCGAACCCGCACCCTTCGCAATCCGGGCCAATGCACTGACCAATTATGCTACCGCGGCCCTCACGGACCGCGTCGAAATTCTTCTAGCCATTCTTAAGCTGAACGGCAGCGCCATCTCTTCGAATTATAGGTAACCCACAATAAATCATCAGAAGAATTTCGACGCGGTCCGTGAGGGCCGCGGTAGCATAATTGGTCAGTGCATTCGCCCGGATTGCGAAGGGTGCTGGTTCGAGTCCCGTCTGCTGCCTGGTCCGCGTGGATTTTTTTCTAGTTAAAGCATAAAAATTATAAAGTTTAGTATAGTTTCTTAGTGGCTTCTTAGTTGTTTAACAAATTAACGATCGGTCGATATCGGCGAAACTAACGCCCCAGTCTTACATGGGTAAGTTTTTTTGAATGCATTCAAATATAGCCCATTACTAGCAGCCGCCCGCGATTTCGTCTGCGTTAACTTTAGTTTTTTGAAAATCCCAATAGGAACCTTACACATTTCCGGGATACAAGTATTCCCTGTCTCAATCTAGGTCCTAAGCTATATGCGTACCTAATTTCATCCAAATCCGTTCAACAGTTTTTGCGTGATTGAGTAACAATCTTACTAATTCGTAGTTCCAGAGATTACCTTTTCCAAATAAATTCCACTATCTATTAAGATCTTATAAAATTAATTTTAATTTTACGCAAAACAAACAAATCAGATTTTCTACTCTTTTTCTCCGAAACGAACTTTCGATACCGAAGTTCAAACGAAATTTAATTTCGTCAATTTAAGATAATACTTAATTTGAACGATCAACTATCAAATTAAAGCTTTCTACACCTCAATCTATATTCGACGACGAATATTATTATAATTAAAAACGAAGAAACATAGTAAGAAAAGTACAAAGTTTCGATCGAAATTTAATTTTTCGTTGAATTAGAGTAGGCCTCCTGATTATAAACAAAAGGACATGGCTAAGAAACTGCCCTTAACATGTATAAAGCTATTTCAAAAGCAAAATGTTCCGTTATACAAAATAAATGAACAATAAATGTTCACAAAAAATATTTGTGAAGGTATATCGAAATAAACAATATTATTTCTAAACTCCTTCAAACTATGAAGCCTTATATTTGGCCTTAACTATCATTATAACAAATCACGGAAGGCCTAAAATAATATATTTTATTATTCTGATCAGGCTTGAGACAAGGCTGTATGATAATTAATTCTTTAATTTTTGCAAATGGACAAAATAAAACTTCACAGATATCCTGTCAGGCCGACGATAACAAATTATAAGTATTTATTTTTGCTTTAAAAAAACTTTTTGTGAAGAGTTAATCAGAGAAATGGGAAAAAAGATTCTAAGAAAATGCGAAATTGATGACCCCGTAAATAATTGGCAACATCTTTTATCAACTGTAGTAAGGTAATGACATAGTAAGAGTTCTCATAATTTTCAAGATTGTGACTATATCATAAGTTCCTGAGCGTTTTTTCATAGGAATTATAAATATTCAGCCATTTACCATTAAATATTAATAAATACAGTGTTTACACATTGCCAGGGCAGTCGCTCATACAAAACTTTACCATGTCCTTTGACAAAAAATTATACACTTTATAAAGAGAGTAAAGAGAACAACTTAATCGGTAAAGGTTTGACGCATAAATGAACGATTGACTGACCCCCTCCTGGACGGCCTTTTTGATCCTTTTCTCCTGCTTGTTCTTGCCGGGCCCCTTGCCGTGGAACTTGTGCGACAGGTAGCGGAAGGCCTCCTTGGGGCACAGGGGCCTCCCGTCGTCGTCCACGTACTCCAGCTTGATGTTAGGCCTGAACGACGACTTCTCGCGGAACTCCTGCAACGGACCCGAGTGCGAGTGGTGCCCGCGCTCGCGACGACTGTACTTATCGTCCTCGCTGCATTTAAATATATTGGAATAATAAATAAATGAATGTTTCTAACACTCACACGAATAAGCCTAGCCCCAGAGTGAGCACTGTAGGCTTGGGTTATGCGATACTAAGGTAAGCAATAGAATACACAAATAAAATTTAAATTTTCAAATTCAATATCGTTTATTCAGTCTAGCATGTTACAAGCACTTGTGAATGTCGAAAAGCTACGCTATCGGTTCGCAAATCTACGGCGGGAGACTTCGTACTGAGAAGAACCGGCACAAACTCGGCTATATATATAGAAATACATATTAAATATCTATGACTGGAGTACGTAGCTCGTAAGCATCACACAAACATCTGCTCCAACCGGGATTCGAAACCGGGACCACTTCAAATAATAACAATAAATTCCGATGCGCTCCAGGTACCCCTTGCTGAGCGTATGTATGTATGTATGTATGTATGTATGTATGTATGGGGGGCGGGTATATACTCACGGCGCCGCCTTGTCGTCGATGGAGTAGTGCGCGGCGTGCAGGGCGGGCGGGGCCCGGTGCCGGGCGGGCGGCGGGGCGGCGCGCTCCAGGTACCCCTTGCTGAGCGTATGTATGTATGTATGTATGTATGTATGTATGTATGGGGGGCGGGTATATACTCACGGCGCCGCCTTGTCGTCGATGGAGTAGTGCGCGGCGTGCAGGGCGGGCGGGGCCCGGTGCCGGGCGGGCGGCGGGGCGGCGCGCTCCAGGTACCCCTTGCTGAGCGTATGTATGTATGTATGTATGTATGTATGTATGTATGTATGGGGGGCGGGTATATACTCACGGCGCCGCCTTGTCGTCGATGGAGTAGTGCGCGGCGTGCAGGGCGGGCGGGGCCCGGTGCCGGGCGGGCGGCGGGGCGGCGCGCTCCAGGTACCCCTTGCTGAGCGTATGTATGTATGTATGTATGTATGTATGTATGTATGTATGGGGGGCGGGTATATACTCACGGCGCCGCCTTGTCGTCGATGGAGTAGTGCGCGGCGTGCAGGGCGGGCGGGGCCCGGTGCCGGGCGGGCGGCGGGGCGGCGCGCTCCAGGTACCCCTTGCTGAGCGTATGTATGTATGTATGTATGTATGTATGTATGTATGTATGGGGGGCGGGTATATACTCACGGCGCCGCCTTGTCGTCGATGGAGTAGTGCGCGGCGTGCAGGGCGGGCGGGGCCCGGTGCCGGGCGGGCGGCGGGGCGGCGCGCTCCAGGTACCCCTTGCTGAGCGTATGTATGTATGTATGTATGTATGTATGTATGTATGTATGGGGGGCGGGTATATACTCACGGCGCCGCCTTGTCGTCGATGGAGTAGTGCGCGGCGTGCAGGGCGGGCGGGGCCCGGTGCCGGGCGGGCGGCGGGGCGGCGCGCTCCAGGTACCCCTTGCTGAGCGTATGTATGTATGTATGTATGTATGTATGTATGTATGTATGGGGGGCGGGTATATACTCACGGCGCCGCCTTGTCGTCGATGGAGTAGTGCGCGGCGTGCAGGGCGGGCGGGGCCCGGTGCCGGGCGGGCGGCGGGGCGGCGCGCTCCAGGTACCCCTTGCTGAGCGTATGTATGTATGTATGTATGTATGTATGTATGGGGGGCGGGTATATACTCACGGCGCCGCCTTGTCGTCGATGGAGTAGTGCGCGGCGTGCAGGGCGGGCGGGGCCCGGTGCCGGGCGGGCGGCGGGGCGGCGCGCTCCAGGTACCCCTTGCTGAGCGTATGTATGTATGTATGTATGTATGTATGTATGTATGTATGGGGGGCGGGTATATACTCACGGCGCCGCCTTGTCGTCGATGGAGTAGTGCGCGGCGTGCAGGGCGGGCGGGGCCCGGTGCCGGGCGGGCGGCGGGGCGGCGCGCTCCAGGTACCCCTTGCTGAGCGCGAGCCTGAGTGCGCCGGCCACGCCCGCCCCTAGCGCCGGCTCTGCCTCCAGACCACCCCCACCCCCTGCGCCTGGCCCCCCTCCGCGCCCTGTATTTATAAGTACCATTGATTGATATAAAATTATTGTATTCGAGCGGCATAAAAGTGACGGACGTCTGTGAACAGATTATATGCATCGCCGCCGCACGACGAAAACCCGGAAAACCGAAACGAGCAGATAGCACAAACCGACACAGCCCCCGCCCCCGACGACCCACTAAAATGCTCCCCCTACTCATCAATAAAGCATATGAATTACAACACAATTTATCAATAAAAACAGATCGACCGATTCCTGCAGACGAGATACGGAGACGATCTACACTACCAACCCATTATGTATATGTTAATAATATATATAAGACACATGTTATGCCTTATAAACAATAATAGGATATTTGACAAGTTTTAGAAAACGATCTCAAGTTATTGACTAATGTTTATGGAGTCCGTAAAAAGTGGATATTCATCATTCTGTTGTGTATTTCAGTAAAAATAACCAAATCAAAAACTACATTTTTGATGACTTTTTTCTAGCAGGGGAATTTCTAGCATAATTGGTATGGCAACCAAAAACATAAAAAATATCCTTTGAACGTAAGGAGGAACAAGGAACTTTGAGAACAATACTCAGCACAAGTTGAACTGAGTCAATATGATTGTTAATTTATCATATACGAAAACATGGCACTTAAATACTACGTCTACAGTACCCCTAGTGTGACTTTTAATAGTTTTCAAATAAGATATTTGACAGTATTAAAAATAAAGTGCCTATTGTTAGTATTTAGAATGAGTATTGGCAGGAGCTTTTACTATTTTTACAGAAAAAATATTCATAATCTTACTAAACACCTACGATAAAGATAATAGTTTTCTTGTCTATTGTCACGTGACCAAAACACTTGGGATTGGTGGAGCCTAAAATGACGTCACACGCAAGTAAACTTCCGATTAAAATGACATTAGATTGTGTGGTTTGACGTTTTAATGACAGTCGTATGACGTCACACACCAGTGAGACACCATATTGTCCAGACATACGTTTTCGCGGCAACTTGAAAATAGAGTTTTTGATTTAGTTTTTTTACCAAAATACACAACATAATGATGAATAGCCACTTTTTATGGACTATATAAACATTAGTAATTACCGTGAGATCGTTTTCTAAAACTTGTCAAATACCCTTTTCGATCAATCGTATCGTCTTGTTTCCATACATTGACTAGCAGCGCCCCTAGCGTTAACTATCAAATACAAAAATCAGCAGTATAAGTTGTATAGAGTCATCGTAAAACGAAAACTACCAAAATTTTCGTATGTCGTTTGCATTTTGGCAGTACAAATTACAAACTTTGACAGCGCATCATGAGTATACTACGACGTTTGATCGTATCGTCACTCGATTAGAAACTTTCAGTGACTAAGTGTTTTCGGCCAAGTTTTTATGCAATCTAATAATGTTTTCGACACAATATTTAGCTCTCATGCTCGATGAAGAGTTTGACGAAGACCAGCGTGCACAGGAACAACGGGAATTATTACAGCGGAGACGATTAACTTCTTTTATCACCGACAGGCATTTTGTACAATGTATATATATTTTTGAATTTTATTTCTTGACGGCCTTGAAGTCAACCTTACAGACACATACAGCCAAATTCCACACACAGATAAACATAGGTTCTATACTATTTGGACACAGATTAATAAGATTAAGTCTGGTGTTTTACATAGATTAGCTTTGTATAAAGTTGAATTGAATGAATGGCTCAGCAATATCTTTTTTAGCAATAAAGAACGAAAGAGACAACACTAAATAGTGTGAAGATCGTTTAATCGAGTCATCGAGCATACGATATCGTGAAGACGAGGAGTGAAATTCTATACTCGGCCTGCGACACAATTAGAAAACGTACAGTTTGATCGAATCGACGAAGATAATCGTTTGTTTCATATTAAAAAAATTCATACTCAGGGTACAGACTTTGTACTGCACTTCATGTCTTACACGATAATCTAATGATTTTATGAATTTGCGTTCTACACTTCTATTTCTCCTTGTGAACGGTATATTGAGGACTCCAGATCACGCTACCGAACTCCAATATACTCCGAAAGTAGGCGTTATAAAGTACCATAAGAGTACTGTCTATGGTAAAAGGCATTCCTTGTCGTAGGATTAAGCCAAATTGCTTAATCGCCTTAACTACTATATTATCAATATGCAAATTGAAGTGTAACTTGGAATCCAGAGTTACTACTAAATAGGTGATCTTTGATCAGAGATTTTGTTATTAAACTGGATAGCGTTATTTTTCGTGTTTGTATTACGGGGTCCGTACCTGCTATATTACTAACAACGCAGAATTGCGCGTAGAGTCAAAGAAATAAGGTCTATATTCCTCCGCATATAGCAGTAAATCGTAAAATTTTACGAGCTAGCATTTCGAACTGTCATAACTCTTTGAAGCATGTGTTTTAATTGAGACCTTTTACCGTATGCATTAAAGGTGACTTTCAATGTTTAAATAATGCCTTATATTGTTTTTGACTACGCGGTTTTCCTACGGAGCTCCCGTGAATCGTCCAATGTACCTTTTGGACAGAAGGCCTACTCGTTGTTTCTAGTTCATTTTTAATTATAATAATATTCGCCGTCAGAGTATAGATTGAGGTGTAGATTTTCTAAGCCTACTCAAAGAAAGCTTCAATTTGATAGTTTATCGTTCAAATTTAGTATACCTTAAATTGACGATATTAAATTTCGTTTGAACTTCGGTATCAAAAGTTCGTTTCGGAGAAAGAGAATAGAGACCCCCTGGTTTCAGTAACGATTTTGTTAGTGTTGGTGTATATAGGGTATTTAATATCGTTGAGTAAAATAACTATGAATTTAGAGTATGATACATATTGATAAATTATCAAATAGACTTAGCTCTGCAGCATATGCCGTAATGAAGATACGCCAGTTAACGGTTGTAGATACGGTCAGATTAGTGTACTTTAGTTATTTCCATAGTGTAATGTTGTATTATAATGGAATTTTATTGTGGGGAAACGCCGCCGACATTCAAACTATTTTTGTGCTGCAGATGAGAGCTATTCGATCAATTTATAATCTTAAAGTTAAGGATTCCTTAAGAGATAGGTTTAAAGAATTTGGTATAATGACGGTCGCATCACAATACATATACGAAAATTTATTACTTGTAAGAAAAAATATTAATTTGTTTCTTAAAAACAGTGATGCTCACACACATAGTACAAGAAACAAAAATAAACTAACTTTACCTGCTACTAGGCTTCACAAAATCAATAATTCATTTAAAGGTCTTTGTGTTCGCTTATACAATAAAGTCCCAAGCAATATCCAAGAGTTAACCATAAATAAATTGAAAGATAGTATAAAAAAAGCACTTATTAAAAAAGCTTATTACAAAGTGTTTGATTATATTACAGACAAAAATGCTTGGATTTGAACTGTTCCAATCATTCCAACAGGTTTTCTATATTAAATAAATCATGATTGTATTGACGTTGTAACAACATAATGATTTGTAAATGTTGTTACATTATACTTTTAATGTTGTGGAGTTTTTTCGCTCGTTTTTCTCCGCACCAAAAAAATGTTTGGACTATTCAAAAGTGTTGTACTATACATCCAATTTGAATAAAGATATATTGATTTCTGATTTATGGATTGCTTACCGGCGGCGAGATCGGGCGCTGTATCGGCGCGCGTGTCGACGCGACTCCACGCGCCTCCCTCGGCCTCCAGTGCAGGCTCCAGCTCCATCTCCTCCGGCTCAGTCTCCTGTGACGTTACGATATGCCATTTATTTATTAGCAACACTAACATTGCATTTATCATACATAGATATACATATTTTATACTGATTGTTTACTTGTAAACACAACAATTATAAGTGTTTACGTCATTCATAATTATGATTATGTGTTATGTTGCTCGAAATAAATGAATTTTATTTATTTTTATTTATAATAATAATCTAACAAATATAATTTTAAGGATTGAATTTTAACTCATGATATTACATATCAAATGAAATTAAATTGGATTGCAATTATTGTATTAAACCAAACAATACTCGATTAACAAATTAAAATTTTACATTTAAATTAGTAAGGCTATTGTAAGCTTCGGATGCATATCAAATAACACTCAAAAAAGCTATCCCAAAACTAGCTTTAAAAAAATCGCTAAATTGTTTTTTATACCGAGTCCTACGAATTAGAAATGTTATTAATGCTTCTGCATTAATCTCTAACAAAAGCCGCTAAAACATGATTACAAACAGGGCTTGTAACCGGTTTCTAAAATACCGGAAAATAAAGGTTAATACCGGTTTTTTGCAAAGGTTTCGTTCGGAGCGCTTCCAAAATGAAAGCGGTATCTAAAACCTTAATAAATCGGTTTAATCCAGAGCGACACGTGCACGCGTCGGCATCGCTTGAAGTTTGTTTTTTTTTGAACTAATCAAATCACAACTTGTTTATGCTCAGAGATCGATGCATTTATTGACACGTTTGCTAACGTCTAGTGAGTCAAGTTATTCATTTTGTAGTTGTGTACTGACACTATACTTCCCTCATTCGCTCTGTAGTTGAAAATAAACAGACATAAAATCATTATAAATTTGAATTGAAACGGCGAAGGCGATGCCGTCAGTAAGAGCGAAATGAAACCCTTTACAAAGCGCTAAATTGATTCAAAACCTATTTGATTTAGCTTTTTTGGAAAACCGGTTTTTTTAAGGTTAAGGTAAAGCCAAACCTTAATAAAACGCTCCTAATTTTCTTGATACTGATTTAGGTTTAAAAATTAACCGGTAAACAAGCCCTGGTTACAAACTCATTACTAACGTAACACGCTTACAGATAATGATCGGTGTGTTGATCGCAGTTTGCCTAGAACTACTTTTTAGCGCAGTTATAATTCCATATCATTTCTAATTCATTGATTGTTTGCTTCGGATGCATATAAAAAAACACTCAAATAACCTATCTCAAACTAAGTTGGAAAAACTCGAAATCGTTATTTATACTGAGACACATTCATTTGCTCTCCACGTGCTGTCATATAACACATCTTAAATTCTATAACCTATGTAATACTATAATATACATATACATGGGGTATCCGAAAATATCCCATGTATGTTCCGCGATTTTTCTTAGTTTTCGAGTTATAATTTTTTTCGTGTATTTTTAATGATTTCTGCCAGCGAGGTTTCAAGAATTCATATATTTTTTCGTAGTAGGTATTTTGCAGTCTTTTTTTGTGACATAATTATCTTGAATGATGTTTTAATAAAAAAGTAACTCAGCTTCCTGAAATTACTTACTCAAAAAAGGCTTGAAAGTTGGAACTTTAGTTTTTAGTAGGATTTACTCAAACATTCAACTTCGATTTAAAAATACAAAAAAGGTAAATTTAAAAAATCAAAAAACCCGACTGCTTAGTTATACTTCAAATAAAAACTGAAAAGAAAAAAACAAGTCCAGTAGTCTATAATTCTGTTAGTAAGGAACAAAGCTACTTTAACAGTCGGGACCCATTAGATATTCAAGAATACATAATATTTTTCAACACATTAAAAATAGATACATGGTGTCACGGACTTTTTTTTAGAACTATTTAAGAGATACATTTTCACACTACATTACATTCATATAACTTTTATTGTTTTTGCAGTGCAGGCCAAAATGGCTCGCAGATGGGAGATTTTTTTCCGTCTTATGTGACACTTATTGTTATATATTGGCCAATTCACTGAATAACTACATAAATTATTATATATATGTAATTAATATATATGAGCTATATTACTGTTAAGTTTCATTAAAATCCATTCAGTATTTTTTAGGTGAAAGAGTAACAAAGATCCATATAAACGTAAGATTGAAATTAAAAGCGTAAGTGGTTAATATACAACTTTAAAGCGTTGTAGATACTAAACAATCACATAAAATGAAAAATGGTGTTAGGAACCTAAATATGATTTTTGATTATCTAGACAGTGATACCCCACTCGACATATTTTGTCAACTTATTTTTTTTACTTCGTCACAATATGGCGCCTAATTTTGCCCATATTGAATTTTGATTACTATCATATCTTTAGTAGCACTCCCATGATTGAGACGAATCGATTGATGTATGAATCATCGAAATCGGTACAGGCGTTTGGTCTCTAGTGTGCCACAAAGAAACAAACATACATATATATAGACTGTTAAACACATAACCCTGTCTGCGCGTCGCGCTTCGCGCTCTTGCATTGCGCAGCCGGGTAAAAAAGGAGTTTCCATAGCTTCTGGCTAAAATTAAAAACTGTGCATGCTTCTAAACTACCAAAAATCATAAAAAAAAATAGTACTTATTCAGCCTATTTTTGTCGTATTTGGCCTTCGAAGGCGGATAGGCTAAAAATCATTGAAACATGATTAAAGCATAAAAAATATTTTATCTACTTTTTATCATTGTTATGGTAAATTAAACTTAAAAATGTAATTTCAAATCATGTGCGGTAATAGGGTCCACAATGGCCCATAGATGGCACTCACGTGCGGTTGATGCCGAGTGCTGGGCTCGGCAAGAGTGCGGCAGAACTCGGCGGTGGCGTCGAGTAACATTCCGCCTTCGTTCACAGACTCCAGTGGTTCCTCCTTCACAGCTTGAAGAACTTCCTCCACCTAACAACATGAGGTCAATGAGGATCATTACTACGTCACAGTATAATGTTCTAATAAGCTTTTTAATTAATATACTTTTTAAATCATCCAAATCGGTTCAGTCGTTGCGATTTTATAACTAATTTTATGGTAGCCAATATTCATCTATGTGTGACGTCACAGAGCTCGATCGTGGTTCAATCCGGTCGAACATTAGTAGCGTCTCTACGCAGGCTCGCGCCCGAGCGCTAGAGCTCTGTGACGTCAGAGCCACCACGCGGCCAGCCGAAAATTCGTTTAGTAATTTGGTCATAACTTCGTCAATATTTGTCGTGGAACAAAAATTTAACCACTGTATTTTATGGAATCCTTAGTTCTATAAATCTGTATTCACAATTAAAATCGTTACGGATCCTCATTTTATAACATTCAACTTTACCGGTCAATTTTGAAATGAATATTGACAGTGGGTGCTGAGTTGATATAAACCAATGTTTTTCCCATGTGCCAAATGAAAGAGTAAAAGTATCGTAACTTCAATAATGTCAAAGTGAGGATATTGTATGAGATGTTTCTATGTTTAATTCTCAAGGTGTCGATAATTTGTGTGAGGTAATTCCGTGAACGATATTAAAAACCCTAGATACATCATCACGAACAAAATCTTGGCCGAAATCTGTCCAAAAGGTACTCGCGAGTTCCGTAGATCGTTATATGGTACTCCGTGGGATGATCGAATAACCAAAACACAATATAAGGCGTTATTTAAACATTTAAATTCACCATAAATTATAGTGTGTAAGGTCTAAATTTAAACGCATACATTAGAGAGTTATGACAATTCGGAATGCAAGGTCATAAAATTTTATGACTTGTCGTTAATGGCGGAAGAATATAGTTTTTTTTTTCTATGACGTTATTCCGTATTTCTGAATACGCTGTTAGCAATATAGTAGATATGGAGCGCGAGGGAAAGACACTACTACAAAACCGACCATACATTTGATTATTACAAATATTTTCTATTAAATCAGTTCATAGTTAGTATTAGAACAAAATTTGCTTCGAATGCTTTAAATAAACATTGATTTGATACCTGCCGAAAAAACGACACTTTACGTAGGTACTAAAGTTTTCAACGGTCCGGGCGAGACAGTGAACCGAGAAGCGATTGAGGGCGTTCAAGCACTTCTTGATTGGTACACATTTTGAGTGGTCGTATTTTAATATCCTTTTATGAACGTGGCAAAGAGATGGTAGGTATTTATGTAATTACTAGCTGTCCCAGCGAACTTCGTACCGAAATAAAAAATAGGGGTTGGTGGTAGAAGGGTGAAAATTTAGGGTTGTATATATTTTTGTATGACGTATAATAAAAAAAAACAACAAAAATTGTCAAAAAAAAAAATTTAAGTGTGGACCACCCTTAACATTTAGGGGGATGAAAAATAGATGTTGTCCGATTCTCAGACCTACTGAATATGCATATAAAATTTCACGAAAATCGGTCGAGCCGTTTCGGAGTAGTTCAATTACGCACACCGTGACACGAGAATTTTATATATTAGACTAGCTGACCCAGCGAATTTCGTACCGCCATAAAAAAATAGGGGTTGGTGGTAGAAAGTTGAAAATTAAGGGATGTATGTATTTTTGTATGATGTATTATAAAAAAAATTAAAAAAAAACAAAATTATCTAAAATTGAAAAAAAAATTAGGGGTGGATTACCCTTAACATTTAGGGGGATGAAAAATAGATGTTGTCCGATTCTCAGACCTACCCAATATGCACAAAAGATTTCATGAGAATCGGGAAAGCCGTTTCGGAGGAGTTTAACCACAAACACCGCGACACGAGAATTTTATATATTAGATTACCTTGGGTAGCGCGGGCGCTGCATTGGCGGCCTGCCGCAGTCGCCGGGCGCGGGCCAGCGCAGTCTGCAGCTCCACGTCGGGCTCCGCCTCGTCCGAATCCACCGCTAGTTCTACGACACCCGGCTTGACGTCTGAATACAGGGGAAACATATTATATAGTAAAAAAACATATTTCTTATATATTTGTTCTTAGGTTTTCGCGCACATCACTCATTAAATAAAACTAGTTTTAACAGGCTAATGCATCGTCAGAGCACTCAGACCACAGACCAGAAAAGGCTGCGAAACGTCACAATAAATAAATAAAGTTTCGTGCATTAATCCGTTAAAACTAGTTTTATTTATATTTCTTATAGTCACACCAAGTAACATAGCCTCAAACTTAAACTTGGGTTCATAAAATAAATTTTCGTTTGTTCCAAAAATGGCCGCTGCCGCTGGTCGCTTTCTGCTTAAGAGCCCCCTTTTACAAAATTGCGCCGCTGCCGTGCATATCTACCTACGCGCTGATCAGTAGATCAGCGCGTAGGTAGATATGCACTAGTAATATTACATTTTATGGGTGATGTTTCGAGTCTTATTAAAATAATTATTAATGAACTAATTATAAAAATATATAAATATTATAGTACTTCAATAATGGTAGATTAGTTTTATGAAAGTTTTTGATAGTAATTCTATTTAATTCAATATCAAAATACGAATAAACCTGCATTGTTTTTTGGGAATAGTCACGGAGGTTAGATGTTTTTTTTCGATAATTAATGAGATGGAAAATAAAAATTCTAATACATTATGTTACAACAAAAACATATCTCTGATGTCGTAGTAATTAATTTGATCTAATTTATTGAACATTATTTAGAGTTTCAGGCGTTTGAAGTTGTGCATATTATCGTTTTTTCCGTATAGAAGGTAAGGCTGCGGTAGAACGATCAGTACAAAAAAAGGAAAGTAGTATTTGCAAATATTGTACATTAACTTACAATAAGAAGAATAAAAGTACTGCTTACTTAAATAGTCAAAATCTTTTCTAACGGGGTAAAGGAGGTGCTCAAAAATTACGATTTTTTGCAAAAAATGTGAAAGGGCTCTTAACAACGCTCAATTGTGGTTGGTTTTAGCTAATTTTGGTTTAGTATTGTTTGTCGTAGCTCAGGGAAGATTTGTACGGTGAGAAAATATGGAAAAATTGCTAGGAAGATAGTAAAAACAACAATTTCATTTTCCCATATGAACTATTCTATTAACTTTCCGGTCAAACATTTGGCGTTCATCCCTTCGGTACAGCAGACTTGGGTCCACAATGTCTTCCGAATTATTGCAAGTGGTATGAGGGATGGACAGCTATATATATATATATATAAATATTACCGGTGTCGTCTGTGTCTAGCGGTGCAGTTCCCGCCTCGTGTTCCTCCACGTCGATAGGCTCCGATTTCGGCTTCTTGCGGATCTTGCCCTGCATATAACATGACAATAAGAATGGTGACTAACTTTTTTTTTAATCTATCAAATAGATTATCAAAAAGTAATGTATAATGCGATTCAACTAAGAATAGGACCGACTTGGCGCCATATTGTGGCGTCATACTGTCAATTCAAACCAAATAGGTAGAGCGAGCAAAAAAAAAGATTTTATCTAATACAACTTATTTACTATGATTAAGTGAGAAAAAACATCAATTTTTTTAATAATATTTATTAACTAAGATTGAGAAAAAATAACTAATATTTATTTATTAAGACTGTGTGAGGAAAAACATTAATCAGAATCTAGCTCCTTGAAGTGACATTTGGTTGACGATTTAGGTTATCAACCAGCCATAGCCAAAGCTCAATAAATGAAAAAAAAAAATACTAAACAATATTAATTATTTGTTTGTTTAATGTTTGGTTTTTATTCTAGAATTAACAGGCTTCCAAGATTTTTTTGCAAACCGTACTTTTCAAGCGACATTTGACAGATGGAGGTCATTGGCTTTCCTATTCTTATTTGAATCGCACTATAGACGAATTTCTTCTTTATTCGCATAATGAAGACATTACAGAGATATATTGATTTGAAATGTCGCATGACGTTGCGTCTTGGTACAGCTCTTACTTAGAAGTGACGTCACGAGCCCCACTCCCAAACTTTGACGCGCTTCATCTTTGTATTTTTTTGGTATAATGACAAAGGAAAAAATACGTGTCCATTATTTTTTGCGAATCTAACTGACGGACTAAATGGAATTTCGTTTACTTCACCCCGTCATCGCCCTTATTGAAAATATATTCCAATTATTGATTTCTCGTCTTACAAGAATTACTGGTTCAGCGTTTTTTTTAATCCTTGATTTTGGCTAGCGCGTTTAACCAAACAAACGAACAATTCAGCTTTACAATTTTAGTATCTATACTGAGCTGACATAGCGACCCATATTGGGTCGCGCGTCATAATAGTTAATTTTAATATTATATATTAATTACACCAGTACGTTAAGTGCGCGCATTCGAAACAGTCAAGCAAAGAATTACCTACTAACTATTTTATCTGTATTTACATTCGGCTTCAATAAATATACATATTTAACTTTGGTAACTTTTTTAACTGCGTACTACAAACAAGTATCATCTATCAGCATCTAAAACGTGTTCGTGGTCACTCTGGCTCGTACAAGTATACAGGGTGTAAAAAGACCTTTAACGAAGTAAAAGGCCACGTATTTTCCACATCATGACGTTATTTTTTTCTTCTGAACCAAATCTGGGAAATTTATGGTTATGGAGATATTGAAGGTCAAAGTCACAATATTTGTTTCAAGATTTTTGCATTAATATTTTAAAAACGTTATTTAGAAACATTTTTATAGACGGTTTTTCACACACGCACACACATACACACAAGCACATTCTTTGCGTAGCGCCACATTAGCGCGCCGTCCTAAACATTGCGTACTAGAAAAAAAATGTATTTTTTTAACTTAAAAATACAAATGATTCCTACGTATAATATTTTGTTACTTGTTGGGGTGTACAGAATGCGTAGTATTAGTCTTTGTCATAGGTATTTTTACACCCTGTAGATAGGTCACCTTTCGCTTGGTCTTCTTAAACTTGGCGGCGACCTCCCGTTCGTCCATATAGTCGGCGGCGGGCTGCAGCGCCGCCGTCTGCAGGGACTCAGATACGTCACCTTTCGCTTGGTCTTCTTAAACTTGGCGGCGACCTCCCGTTCGTCCATATAGTCGGCGGCGGGCTGCAGCGCCGCCGTCTGCAGGGACTCAGATACGTCACCTTTCGCTTGGTCTTCTTAAACTTGGCGGCGACCTCCCGTTCGTCCATATAGTCGGCGGCGGGCTGCAGCGCCGCCGTCTGCAGGGACTCAGATACGTCACCTTTCGCTTGGTCTTCTTAAACTTGGCGGCGACCTCCCGTTCGTCCATATAGTCGGCGGCGGGCTGCAGCGCCGCCGTCTGCAGGGACTCAGATACGTCACCTTTCGCTTGGTCTTCTTAAACTTGGCGGCGACCTCCCGTTCGTCCATATAGTCGGCGGCGGGCTGCTGCAGCGCCGCCGTCTGCAGGGACTCAGATACGTCACCTTTCGCTTGGTCTTCTTAAACTTGGCGGCGACCTCCCGTTCGTCCATATAGTCGGCGGCGGGCTGCAGCGCCGCCGTCTGCAGGGACTCAGATACGTCACCTTTCGCTTGGTCTTCTTAAACTTGGCGGCGACCTCCCGTTCGTCCATATAGTCGGCGGCGGGCTGCAGCGCCGCCGTCTGCAGGGACTCAGATACGTCACCTTTCGCTTGGTCTTCTTAAACTTGGCGGCGACCTCCCGTTCGTCCATATAGTCGGCGGCGGGCTGCAGCGCCGCCGTCTGCAGGGACTCAGATACGTCACCTTTCGCTTGGTCTTCTTAAACTTGGCGGCGACCTCCCGTTCGTCCATATAGTCGGCGGCGGGCTGCAGCGCCGCCGTCTGCAGGGACTCCAGGCGCCTGCCCACATCCGGCCCCATGCCGAACATGCCCATCTGTCATCACAATACCAAATAAATATAAATAAATAAATAAACGTTTATTTCTTTTTAAATAGGGATGATGACAATTTTTTTTTCTTCGTTTATCAGGTAGATTATGAAAAAGTAGTGGACACGTATTTTTTCTTTTTTCACATAATATAAACATTGCAGAGATATATTGATTTGAAAAGTCGCATGACGTCACGTTTGAGTACACTTATAAGTGAAAATTCACTCAAAAGTGACGTCACGAGCCCCTACTCCCAAACTTTGACGCACTATAACTTTGTCATTTTTTGGTTGATTGCCCAAAGAAAAAATATGTGTCCATTATTTTTTGATCATCTAACTGACGGACTAAATAGAATTTCGTTTACTGTACCCCGTCATCACCCCTATTGTTACACATTATTTTAGTAGTGTTGTAAGTAGACTTGCAATGAATAGTATATTCGGCGAGGCCCCTGACCGAATATTAGGCAAATGTATTCGGCTGTATTTTAGCGCCAGAAACTTGTACAGACTTGCTTCGCGCTCCTTTGTTTTGTTCTAATCTGCCGTCCTCAAGCTAAAATGCGCCTAATTGACAAAACCAACTTTTGAGATATGGCCAAAAACGCGCGTAAACTTTAAATTATTGCTATTATGTAACCATTCATCACATGACTAAATGAATTAAAAACTGTTAACTTGTTTAATACAGAAAATGATTAAATTATGTACCTGTTTTATGTACCAATGACTACTTAATAAATGATTATAAAAGAAATGAGAAATTTTGATTACCACAATAATTCAAATACATAGAATCCTCCATTTTTCCAATTCAGAAGAGGCCGAATAATATGTAGATATTCGGTATTCGGCCGAATATAGTAAAAGCAGCCGAATAGGCCGAATACCGAATAGTAACCGAATATTCGTTGCAAGTCTAGTTGTAGTTGATGTTGTTGATGATGATGATGATGATAAGGTTGTAGCGTTGATATCTGCACTAGTTTAAAAAACTGTATTGCAGATACCGGCGCCTTCCGACTTAATATAAATACAATTTCGTGTGAATACTTAAATTAAATCTGTAATGAAAACGTTAATAAACGAAAATAATGATAACCATTTTTTTCTTCCCCTTAATAAAATAGTCCACAGGATAATATTAGTTACCTACATCTTAAACGGCAAATAAGTATCTTAACAAAATAATAATACCACACTTCAGATTTTGTTCTTGGTAAACTATGCAACTAAAAAATTCAAAATTCAACATCGTCCATTCAGCCTAGACTGTTACAAGCACTTGTGAATTTCGAAAAGCCACGCTATCAATTCGCAAATCTACGGCGGGGGACCTTGTACTGAGAAAAACCGGCAAGAAACTCAGCAAGGGTTGTTCTGTATTTTAAACACAGTCGTCGAATTGAAAAATGGCTTCAATATGTGATAACTTTTGAAGTCACTTTCCATTACAAATGCAAACGTTCTAAAAATTTTGACTTTAAAATAAAAAAATAAATAAAACACTGAACAAAGTTTAAAAATGTTCAGGAATGCCGTGTCCTACTGTTTAGGCATAAAAACTAAAACATAATAACAGATGAACGGTACCTCCATCTTACGGAAGAATGTCTTACAGTAATCGGTATCTTACAGTAAAATAACAGTATTACAGTACCCCTAGCACGAACCAATATCGAATTCATATCGTTTACGAGTCCGAAATGTCATTGTCAAATGTGTACCGATTTTTAGTTCGCGTTACGTACTTTGTGCCGCTGCTGTTCAAGTTTCCATACAAAATTTGACATTGACATTTCGGTTTGCATACTATTCAAATTCGTTAATGGTTCGTGCTAGGGGTACTGGTGGTATTGTGTTTCTGTTGCCGAGTAATGTTAGGGGCTAAGCGAGGTAGAGAATTGGCTCAGAGTAGGCAACGGCGCCAGCGATATTTTTTTGTATTGCCGCTTACCATAAGGTAGGCCCTACGCCACCTTCAAACATAAAAAAACTTAAACAATAAAAATACAGATCGACCTGTGAATAAAAGTTCATCATCATCAGCCTATTAACGTCACATGCTGTGGCACAGGCCTTCCCTATGTATGGAATAGGGAGATTAGGCCATAACCCACCACGCCGGACCAACGGCTTAACATGCCTTCCGAAGCACGGAGGAATTCGAGATAGAAGATTTTTGGTCATCCATCCAAGGACCTACCACTGCGAAAGTTGCTTAACTTCAACAATCGCAGCCGAACGCGCTAACCATCCGCCCCATCTAGCTCCTCGAATGAAAGTTAAAAAGCGTTAAATAAAACCTTTAACAAATTTAACAAATATATATAAGTTGACCAGTACGGGCTGGAAACTGCTAATGAAATCCGCCGATTGGAAATTCTGAAGACAAAGCGCGCAAGAAAACTATTGTCGCTGAATTTCCTGACGCTATGCCGAGACCACAATCTCAACCCACCTTGTGTGAGAATCACACAAAAAAAGACATACGTGAAAGTGCCAAGATCTTACAAGAGGCAAGTAAAAAGCTACTTCAAAAGATTATAGTTTGCAAATACACAAATACCAAATATTAATAAGCGTCAAAAATGTAATGAAATTCGGCTCTGTCGTAACTTATTGAGGGTCAAATATCACAACAAGCCATTATTCGCGATTATCTCGCTTTCTATTGGTCCAATAATGTTAACACATACTATAACGAAATTGAGTAATCCGCTGATCTAAATCCATCTTATATATAGAAATCCTATTCCATTGTAAAACATACACTTTTCTCAATTTATTTATTTAGGACTTTTATTTAAAAATAATACGTAGTCATCATCATCATCATCATCAGCCTATTAATGTCAACACTGCTGGGGCACAGGCCTTCCCTATAGATGGAATAGGAAGATTGGGCCATGACCCTAAACGCGGGCCCGGTGCGGATTGGTGGGTGTTAACGACTGCATATGCAGCCGGGACCAAGGGCTTAACGCGCCTTCCGAAGCACGGAGGAGCTTGAGATAGTAAATTTTTGGTCACCCATCCAATGACCGACCAATGCGAAAGTTGCTTAACTTCAACGTTTGCAGCCGAACGCGCTAACCACCTGCGCCATCAATTCAATTCAATTCAATTCAATTCAATTTATTTGCATTAAATAGGGTACAAATAAAGGTGTTACATTTCATCTAAGTTGTAGCTTAACCTATTCAGTCATATAAAGATAACATGCAAATTTTTCTATTCAATTATAATTACCTATATAAATGTCAATAATTCTTATTATAATATTATAATTATTCGATGTCGTCAATTTATCATGCCCATAATTATGTGAATGTCATAATTAGAATGGTCTTGTAAAGAATATCAAAATTAAATGTTATATTTAAACCCATTAAGCATGTCTTTAACCCATGCATCAAATCCTACCATAATTCATGAACTCAACCATACTGTAAAACGTGTTTTCATTTAACCACTTACGAAGTTTTGACTTGAACTTATTAAAGGTTTGGCTTTTAATTTCTTCTGGAATTTGATTATAAATTTTAATTGCCATCGCTGGTGCATTTGTTTGGAATCGCTTTGTTTTCGGAACTATGTCCATTTTTATTTTATTAGGATACCTCAGACTTCGATCTGTTGCATCTTTTGCGACTGTATATAAATGGTAGTGCTGCTTTACAAAAGTTGCTACTTCGAGAATGTACAAAGAAGTCAAAGTTAAAATATTTAGGTCCTTAAAATATGTTCTACAAGAAACATCCGGGGCTATATTACAAATTGCCCGTATACACCTTTTTTGGCATACAAACACTCTTTTAATGTCCGTGCCATTTCCCCAGATTATAAGACCGTATCTTAATATCAATTCCACATAAGTGTAATAAGCTGTAATAGCTGTGGCTTTATTTGCAACTTTTGATAGTTTATGCAGAGCAAAGACAAATGAACTTATTTTATTGCTAATTTTATTTATATGTTCCTTCCAATTTAAACATGGTTTTGTTATTAATCCTAGGAAAATCGTATTATTTACATGTCGAATTATTTTATCATTAAATTTAATGTCAACTGTTTTATTTTTATAATTTTTAAAATTCATTAAATTAGTTTTGTCCAAGTTGATTTGTAAATTATTTTCTGAAAGCTATTTGACTATAGTTATCAGTGTGTTTATAATTTCAGTTTGATGTTCCTTTAAGGAAGCACTTTTATCCGACGTTACAATAACTGATACGTCATCAGCAAAGAGTATTGTCTTATGCTTATAATTTTAGGTAAATCATTTATGCACAGCAGAAATAAAGGCGGTCCAAGAACACTTCCTTGAGGAACGCCAGAACATTTTTCCTCTAAATCCGATTTATAAGTGTGTTCTACTTGTTTCGAATTCAATTGTTTTGTTTCTACAAATTGAGTACGATTTTTTAAATACGTCTCTATCCAACTTAAAGCGGGACCCCTAATCCCAGTGTTCGTCAGCTTTGCCAAAAGTCGGTCATGTGATACACAATCAAAAGCTTTCGACAGATCCAAAAATAAAACAGACGTATAATTACCAGTGTTCACATACCGTAATATTTCATCAACCATAAAGAACGCTGCATGACTTGTACATTTTTTCTTCTGGAAACCATATTGATCTTCACTTATTATTTTAAATGTGTTGAAAAATGACAAAAGACGCTGATGCATGGCCTTTTCAAAGATCTTAGAGAAAACTGAGACTAGAGTGATAGGTCTATAGTTGGATATGTCAGTTTTATCACCTTTTTTATATAAAGGCATAACTTTTGATACCTTTAGTTTATCTGGAAATGTTCCACACTCAAATGATATATTTATTAAGTAAGTCAACACTTGTTTTAGTTCGTCAATACATGATTTCACTACATTAGTACAAATAGAGTCATAACCTTCACCTGGCGAATTTTTCAGAGTCATTATAATTTTTCTTGTATCATTTTCACCAACCGGAGTAAGGAATATGGAATTTTTTGATAGTGTCGTAGAAGTTACAGTACTCTTTTTTGCATTCATGCTTGTGCTTGGTATGCAAGTGAAGTAATTATTCATGACAGAAGCAATTTTTTGTGGACTAGTTACTTCAATGCCGTTGTATACTATTTTATTTAAATAATTAGTAGTATTTAGCCTACTTTGTTCAGATTTTATAATACTCCAGGTAGCTCTAGCTTTATTTTTACTATTCATTACAATTTTTGTATTTGTGATTCTTTTTGCATAATTTGTGCATTTTTTAAATAGCTTGTTGTATTTTAGGTATTTAATTTTGTCTGAATATTTTTTGGTTGTGTAATATTTATATCGTAGTACACGTTTTGTATTACAACTTTTATGTATTCCCTTTGTTATCCAGACTAATTTATTTGAATTTGTAACATCGAGCTCCTCCAAAAATAATACGTTACATATATTTAATCTTAACCTAAATATACAGCATACAGAAACTTAATCTAATATATAAAATTCTCGTGTCGCGGTGTTTGTGGTTAAACTCCTCCGAAACGGCTTTCCCGATTCTCATGAAATTTTGTGTGCATATTGGGTAGGTCTGAGAATCGGACAACATCTATTTTTCATCCCCCTAAATATTAAGGGTAATCCACCCCTATTTTTTTTCAATTTTAGATATTTTTTTTTTATTTTTTTATGATACAGCATTAGTAAATACATATAACCCTGAATTTTCAACCCTTTACAATCAACCCCTATTTTTATGGCGGTACGAAGTTCGCTGGGTCAGCTAGTACTTATTTATAATTACCTGTTCCCGTATACAAGGCTTGCGGTCCATAAGATGGTGTTCCCCTATAGTGAACCCACGTGAATGGTCCGGTTTGTTCTTGTTGATTTCCTCGTCGTACTTGGCCAGCACGGGCTTGCGGAACCCTAGGGCGCTGGCTTCCAGCTCCGCCTCGTCATCGTACGCTTGGTAGCCAGCACGGGCCTTTTTCTTTTCTTCTATGTTCTGCGATATACAAATAAATATTTACAACAAACACTATTTGACAGTATCACACTAATATTATAAAGGCGAAAGTTTGTGAGTGTGTGAGTATGTGAGTGTGTATGACATATTGATAAATTGTCAAATAGACTTAGCTCTGCAGCATATGCCGTAATGAAGATACGCCAGTTAACGGATGTAGATACGGCCAGATTAGTGTACTTTAGTTATTTCCATAGTGTAATGTCGTACGGAATTTTATTGTGGGGAAATGCCGCCGACATTCAAACTATTTTTGTGCTGCAGAAGAGAGCTATTCGATCAATTTATAATCTTAAAGTTAAAGAATCATTAAGAGATAAGTTTAAAGAATTTGGAATTACACAATACATATACGAAAATTTATTACTTGTAAGAAAAAATATTAATTTGTTTCTTAAAAACAGTGATGTTCACACAATTAATACAAGAAACAAAAATAAACTAACTTTACCTGCTACTAGGCTTCACAAAATTAATAATTCATTTAAAGGTCTTTGTGTTCGCTTATACAATAAAGTCCCAAGCAATATCCAAGAGTTAGCCATAAATAAATTTAAAGACTTTATAAAAAAAACACTTATTACATACCGGAGCGTACATAATCGAGTCACGAAGGTCGTCAAATTATAACTTGTAATATGAGAATTGACAAAGTCATAACTGTTTGTCAAGAATAGGAATCATCGGTTAGCGACTGTGGACTGTTATCATTAAACAGACTTTTTGCGACTAAATTTATTACCAACTATCTTCGTGTTTAGATTTCGCCTATACTTAAAAGGGTAGGCGGGCAATATATTTTCCATACAAAAGAAATGATTTTCTTACATAAAATATAATTTTACTTATTTATACACCTATGTTTTCCTTTTTTCGTTAACTTATGTTTCAAAGAAACTTTCAAAAATGACTATAATAAACCATTTTATTTAAAATCATCACTAATCCTGTCTAGTATGTAGATTCAATAAACATTTACGAAAAAAGCAAAACATAGAGGCCTCATATACCTACTTATTATTCTATGGGAAAAAAATCTTTTATATATATCTAATTTCGAAGAGGAAATCGTCGAGATCCAAACCTCGAATTTGGCAATTCTTGTACGCAAATTTTCAGCGTTAGCTTTCTCTATCGCACGGTATTTGCCAATGCACGACAGCAATAATTTTTCTAATACCCAGTTCTCATTTTTTTAATGCTATTAGGCAATAACATTAAAAAAATGAGCACAACAATCTCGCCTGATGGAAAGCGATGATGAGGCCTAGGATGGTATACGCCTGCCTAGAAGATGCCTGTTCACTCTGGCCTTGAAGATGTCGATGAAGATTATATTGGTCCGGGAAAACAGACCTCGGCAAGGAGTTCCACTCCCTAGCCGTTCGCATAATGAAAGCGGAAGCAAATAGCTTCGTACGAATGGGAGGAACTTCGACAACATTAGGGTGAAAGCCCTCGCCTCGCCTGGTCGTCCGGTGGTGGAAAGGGGAAGGGGGCATCAAATTATGTAATACCTGTCTATGTAAATTATGTAAATGTCTCTCAGGTCTAGAAGCGACCTCTTAACATCAAATGGAATAGAATCATATTATTAGTATAGCCTTATTTTTATTCAAATATACTGGTGTCAATTCTGGCAGGATTCTCTAACTTAAAACTAAATGTAATGTCAGTCTGTCCTTTTCATTCTATGTAGAGAATGACAAGGATAAACTGTTTGTTCAAGCCAAAATGACTCTTAAAATCCGAGAGCTTAGGTGCAAAAGAATTAAATGAAACTAAGGTGGATTTTGTTTGACCATAGATTTCTTTATTAGTTTGGTGACGTTTTGCCTATATGTAGCTCCAAACAAATTTGCAAGCGTGATGCAAAGAACTACAGCGCCATCTATTTTGACACATATGAACTACATTTTTTACATGCACAAATGGCGTATACACTGTTGTTAAATTTGAGTTTAGGTTTAGAGAATCATGCCAGAATCGACACCAAAGTGGATAAAAGCTAAGAATATCTATTTACAGTAGATAAAAAACTTTAGTAATGTCAAACATTTTTCATATTACGAGGTCATTTACAGTGTTATTGGCATAGTATGTGGGTGTCAGTGAGTGCACAGTCAGTATGTTGTTTAGTATCTGGGTGTTTACGTACCTTCCTGTATTTCTCGTCGTCGACGAGGTTGACGTTGACGAGCACGTCTTCTGGTCGTTCGGCGAGTACATCTTGATCTGCCAGCGTGAGGACTACCTCGCGCTCCTCGCCCAACTATAACATGACATTAAATTTGATAAAAACATCATCATCAAGAAAACAAATATACCCAAAATGAGGAATATTTTGGGTATATTTGTTTCTCCTTCTTGAAGTCGGTTAAAAAATAACAATAGTAATTGAAAGTCCTGAAGGATTGACATCCACACTTAGGTATATTATATTTATGTGCAAGTAAGTCTATCAGTCTGTTATCTCTTCAAGCTTAAAGCGCTGAATCGATTCATATGATTTTTGGTACAGGGATGGAAAGGAAATATAATAGTTTATATTCCAGATATGCCTTTAAGTAAAAAAATATATATGATGGAATTTTTTTATGGGAAATTAAACCATGCAACATTCAGTAGAGACCGATACAATTGATAGGTTTATTGATGTTGTAATAACATATTTGACAATATCTCTTATCTATTAGACAAGTCCGTCCGTCCGTCCGTCTGTGGTGCTGTTTCAGCGGCCAAAGCGCAGAGATAGATAAAGAGAATATTTAAGTTATAAGTTAAGAATAGTCTGATAAGACTACAAACCGGATTTGAGTAACGTAGCACTTCCGGTTTTCGAGAAATCACGAATTTCAAACGAAACCACACAAAATCTCCGAAGTTCTCAATTAATTAAATACATTTTTTTTTTAATTGGTGAACATTTGGTTCACTGGTTTGCTAGTGTATTTATAATAAAATACTAATTGTTAACATCTGTATTAACAATGAATATTGGCAGGGGTTTCTACTATTTTTACAGAAAAAACGTTTTTTTTTTTGAGTATATAAGCTGTTGGTCGCAGATGGCCTTTACAGTGTCACCGGGTTTGGGGATGGTGAGATCATAAGGGGACCTCAAGCCGAGAATTGGCGAGTGCCTCTGGAGGTATTCCGGCGGATGGCATCTCCCCACGGGGGGAGTCCTCTCCGTCTGGAGCCTCTACACCACTCGAACCAGAGGGGGTCGGCTCAATTAGAGGGCGTCTCTGAGACAGAACGAAACGTGAGATCGTTTTCTTAACCCTGTCAAATACCTTATTATTTTACAAAGTCAACTAGGTATTTATAGTCTTATTTATGACACAATAGGTGTGATGACGGGGTACAGTTAGTCCGTCAGTTAGATGATCAAAAAATAATGGACACGTATTTTTTCTTTGGGCAATCAACAAAAAAATAACAAAGTTATAGTGCGTCAAAGTTTGGGAGTAGAGGCTCATGACGTCACTTTTAAGTGAAAATTGTACCAAAACATGACGTCATGCGACTTTTCAAATCAATATATATTATGTGGAAAAAAGAAAAAATACGTGTCCAATACTTTTTGATAATCTACCTGATAAACGAAGAAAAAAAATAGTCATCATCTCTATTGTTGCGCTTCGTATAAGAAAACTGAGGTACAGTATTGGTTCGTGCTAAGGGTACAGTATTGGTTTGTGCTAAGGGTACAGTATTGGTTCGTGCTAGGGGTACAGTATTGTTTCGTGCTAAGGGTATAGTATTGGTTTGTGCTAAGGGTACAGTATTGGTTCGTGCTAGGGGTACAGTATTGTTTCGTGCTAAGGGTACAGTATTGGTTCGTGCTTAGAGTACAGTATTGGTTCGTGCTTAGAGTACAGTATTGGTTCGTGCTTAGAGTACAGTAATGGTTCGTGCTTAGAGTACAGTAATGGTTCGTACTTAGAGTACAGTATTGGTTCGTGCTTAGAGTACAGTAATGGTTCGTGCTTAGAGTACAGTATTGGTTCGTGCTTAGAGTACAGTATTGGTTAGTGCTTAGAGTGCAGTATTGGTCCGTGCTAAGGGTACAGTATATCATACCGCGTCCAGTTGGTGAGCAACCTTCAGTCCCCGCAGTGATGCGGGCGTGTAGAGAGGTCGCTGCGAGTCTTGCTCCTCCTCTATGAGCGCTGATACGCCGAACTCTGCGTCCAATTCGTCCAGCATCGCCGCCTGCACCAATTTTACTCGAGTCATGTTTCAATCCAAAAAATAATCGTCAAAAAATCAATCATAATAATCCAAATCATTTATTCAGTTTAGGCTGTTACAAGCAAACATGATTGTTTAGAAGCGACGCCATCGGTTCGTAAATCTACGGCGAGAGAGAAGAGAGAAAAGTAGGCGAAGTTATTCTTAAGATAATAAGTCCTCTTAAATCTTCAAAAGAACAAACGACCACCTCCGCCGAGTGGTTTGTACGCCGGGTTTCATGGCTGTCGCCGACTCGAGAGGTCCCGGGTTCGAATCCCGGTGGGGGCAGATGTTTGTGTGATGAATACGAGCATTTGTACTCCAGTCATGGATGTTTAATATGTATTTATATAAATATACTTATATATGTACAGTATATGTATTCTATCCGTTACCCTAGCATCCCATAACACAAGCCTTATAGTGCTTACTTTGGGGCTAGGCTAATTGGTGTGAGTGTCGGAAATATTTATTTTATTTATTTATTTAAAAGAATAAATGGAGTCAGTTCTTATGCAAAAGGAGCAATGTTATGAAGAAATCCTAACATCATCAGTCATCGCGTGAGTTTCAATCAATTTCTTGATACTAGTTTGTAATTAGGATTGCAATTTTTAAATTTTGTTAATTTAAATAGAATTATTGAAATGATAAATTACCCTTTTGGCAGCCTCTTGTTTCTGTTTGTCCAGCTCACGTGATTTCTTGACCCAGGCCAGAGCGTCTTCGTCATCAGACCCTTCAGCTAGTAATGTCGTTTTTAACCTAACAAGATCACAAAAGACAGTTAAAGAAAAATCATTTCTAAGACTATAGCATGAATTTGAAGTATTTATGTAATACAAAATAGGGCCCCCTAATATAAGGACACAGAGTCAAGTCTTCATTGACTCAACTTGGATCAAAATGCAGAAACTCAGATGTGAAAAGCCATTCAACATATAAGCATCATTATCAGCCTATTCCTGTCCCTCCTGCTGAGGCACAGGAATAGTTAGATTGGGCCATGACCCACCACGCGGGGTCAGTGTAGATTGATGGGTGCTGACGACTGCAGATGCAGCCGGGACCAATGGCTTAACGTGGCTTCTTAAGCACGGAGGAACTCAATATAGAGGATTTTTGATCACCCATCCAATGACCGACCACTGTGAAAGTTGCTTAACTTCAACGATCGCAGCCGAACGCGCTAACCACTTGCGCCATCGAGCTCCTCCATATAAGCTTTTACTTACTAGTATTATAAATGCGAAAGTAATACTAACTAGTATTATAAATGCGAAAGTAAGTTTGTTTATTTGTTCCTCAACCACGCAAAAATTACAGAACAATTTGGTTGAAAATTGGTACGTTTATAGATTATGACCTTAATTGAGACATCTAAACTAATATTATAAATGCGAAAGTGATTTGTTTGTTGGTTTGGTTGTCTGTCTGTGTGTTATTCAATCACGCAAAAACTACTGAACTTTGGATTAAATTTGGTACGCATATAGTTTATAGCCTGGATACTTTTTTTCATGGAAAATCATCAGTTTCTTTGGGAAGTTAACGCGGACGAAGTAGCGGGCGGGCGCTAGTTAAGATCTAACTCTTACTTCTGTTCCAACTTCCTCTTCTCCTTGCGCTCCTCGAGTTTCTCCCGCAGCTTCTCAGTTTTCTTCTGCTGCGTGATGTTGCTGGCGGGCTTGTGATAGAACTCGCCCAAGTCATCTTTGATTTTCCCATCATCTACATTGGACAATGTAACATTTCGCTTATTTTACTATCACTGCTTTAAAAGTGAATGTGAATGAAACAAAAGATGTGTGTAAGAACTACGCCATTATTTTATCAAAGAAATAAACACTTTTTTATTAATTTAGGTAAATTTCAAAATTATCATATTTTTTTTTGATTTGTGTACGATTCTAGTGTACTAGTTATTAAAAACTAGCAAACCAGTGAACCAAATGTTCACCAAAACCTGATTTAAAAAAAATGTATTTAATTAATTGAGAACTTCGGAGATTTTGTGTGGTTTCGTTTGAAATTCGTGATTTCTCGAAAACCGGAAGTGCTACGTTACTCAAATCCGGTTTATAGTCTTATCAGACTATTCTTAACTTATAACTTAAATATTCTCTTTATCTATCTCTTACGGTTTGGCCGCTGAAACAGCACCACAGACGGACGGACGGACGGACTTGTCTAATAGATAAGAGATGCTGTTTGAATTGCACTAACAAGATGTAAAAATATTATAAAACATGAAAGTTTAGCAGGAACAATCTCCGTTGAATGAATATATACTTATCTCCATACAAATCTTTTACCTCAAGTATTATCATACGTTTATGCGTAGGAAAATATGCCGAAATAATTATACGAGATGATTTTCACCAAAGTTATGCACTTCACTTGACTGTTTGTTTTGCTATTTGTAAAGTTGTCCTTTTTATTCTTTATAAAGCATGATAAGGACAGACTGTTATCAAGTACAAATAGCAAATACGAATAAACAAGTGAAGTGCCTACATAACACAATCTAAGACAATATAAGTGCATATATAAGTTAAGGCTACATTACCGGCCGGTTTCTCAGCGACCTCTAGCGGCTTGAGGCCGAGCTTGGCGCCGCGCCTCCTGAATGAAGTGGGTAGATACAAGTTAAGGCTATATTACCGGCCGGTTTCTCAGCGACCTCTAGCGGCTTGAGGCCGAGCTTGGCGCCGCGCCTCCTGAATGAAGTGGGTAGATACAAGTTAAGGCTATATTACCGGCCGGTTTCTCAGCGACCTCTAGCGGCTTGAGGCCGAGCTTGGCGCCGCGCCTCCTGAATGAAGTGGGTAGATACAAGTTAAGGCTATATTACCGGCCGGTTTCTCAGCGACCTCTAGCGGCTTGAGGCCGAGCTTGGCGCCGCGCCTCCTGAATGAAGTGGGTAGATACAAGTTAAGGCTATATTACCGGCCGGTTTCTCAGCGACCTCTAGCGGCTTGAGGCCGAGCTTGGCGCCGCGCCTCCTGAATGAAGTGGGTAGATACAAGTTAAGGCTATATTACCGGCCGGTTTCTCAGCGACCTCTAGCGGCTTGAGGCCGAGCTTGGCGCCGCGCCTCCTGAATGAAGTGGGTAGATACAAGTTAAGGCTATATTACCGGCCGGTTTCTCAGCGACCTCTAGCGGCTTGAGGCCGAGCTTGGCGCCGCGCCTCCTGAATGAAGTGGGTAGATACAAGTTAAGGCTATATTACCGGCCGGTTTCTCAGCGACCTCTAGCGGCTTGAGGCCGAGCTTGGCGCCGCGCCTCCTGAATGAAGTGGGTAGATACAAGTTAAGGCTATATTACCGGCCGGTTTCTCAGCGACCTCTAGCGGCTTGAGGCCGAGCTTGGCGCCGCGCCTCCTGAATGAAGTGGGTAGATACAAGTTAAGGCTATATTACCGGCCGGTTTCTCAGCGACCTCTAGCGGCTTGAGGCCGAGCTTGGCGCGCAGTCGGTTGGTCTCCTCGACGGAGAGGCTCTCGGGCGCCGCCCCTCCCCCCACCTCCACCGGGGACGCGGCCCGCTCCACTTCCATACTCTTGTCTCTGTAACAATCACCCCGGTAAAATTATTCAAAAAATCTGACATAGTAACACAGTGCGACCAAGATGTTGCGCGTAGCCGAGATCGGAACAATTTGAATGCTTATTGACGCCGAGGCAAAACAAGCGACAATATTTAATGCTATATATTTTGGCGTGGGTCAACTGGTGGTATGCTGCAAATAGAGAAATTCTGCTCCATTTGTTACACTCAGCAGCCTTTTTAACGCCGACGAAACATCATGCCTAGATCATTTTCATTGTGTTGTTCATGAAATATTAAATTATTCGGTGTGGCATGCCACACAGTGTAAATCAGCCTTTAGGAAGGCATAAATGAGACCTTTATTTATAGAGGAAGGTGTTATATAAGCCTAAGATTTATATTTCTTATTACTCTTTCAAAGTTATTTTAAATTATAACGTTCTCTTTAGTCAGGAGATTTTATGTATTCAGTAATCCTCATTTTACCATTTATTCACCAGCAGCCCTCCTGTCAATGTCATGTAAGTGCCACAAGATCTGAGTCACACTGTAACTCATACTTTACTTTAATAAGGTAAAATTTGTGAGGTTGTAGGGCGGAATCTCTGGATCTACTGTATCGATATTGAAAATTCTTTAACCAATATCTTTTACGAAGCGAAGCGAGGGCGGGTCACTAGTAACTTATAAGCATTTATTTAGTTTGGTGCTTTCAACATCTTAGGGAAATAACTATCATGTAAGAAATAGACAGAAGAGTGAAATTCGGAGGACGTTCAGGATTTTTCATTCCTCATGTCCTCCCTCATCCCAATATATTTATTTAACTACTCAGGCAACCCTCTACCTTGTTATACTGAGATTCAAAGTTCGGCTATACCTGAAGAAACAAAAATGGCTTTGGTGATCTTTGATATGTCAGTGGATAAATAAGTATTTAAAGAAATCATTTAGAAAGTCTTAATTGAAAACATAACTAGAAAAAACTCCATGCGGCACAGGCAGCAGTCGGGACTCGAACCTGCACCCTTCGCTATCTGGGCGAATGCACTGACCAATTATACTACCGCAGCCCTGATGGCTGCGTCGAAGTTCCTCTAGCCATTCTTAAGCTTTAAGGCAGCGCCATCTCTTCGCATTGTAGGTGAACCCACAATGATGATGATGAATGAATGGCTAGAGGAATTTCGACGCGGCCATCAGGGCCGCGGTAGCATATTTTTTTTTTTTTTTTTTTTTTATTTATTTATTCAATAAACATGCTGATTTACAGAACTAGTTCCAACGCATCAGCAGGTCACATTAATTCAATTTATAAATAAAATACAAATTATACATTACAATAAATACAATAACATTAATTGAAAATAACACATCAGCAGGTCACATTAATTAAAATTATAAATAAAATATAAATTATACATTACAATAAAATAAAAAATTAAATTAATAAAAACAATAAAATTAATTGAAACTAACGCATCAGCAGGTCACATTCATTAATATTATAAATCAAAAACAAATTATACATAAGAATAAAATCAAAAATAAATACAATAAAATTAATTGAATTTAGTCCAATGTCAATATTTACTAACTAGGCATTTACAACCTTCTTTAATAATATGTTCGAAATGGTCGGCATAATAATAATAATTCTAAACAATCTGTATAAGTCTTTGTTACTTGAATAAATAAATTTATTATTATTATTATATACATCTATTTGGTCGCACTGAGCGAGCACGCTGTCTATCAAGCGAAGTACGCGCGGGGTGGGTGCATGCGCAGCGTGTAAGGTCCGTGTGTCGGGCACGTGGAAGAGGCGCGGTCGGCGGCGCGGGGCGACCATCGCCTGACCATCCCAAGGGATACGTGAAGGTATTAATAGGTTCACCCTGGACACTAAGCTACTATCTACCCTATGATGCAATACGGAGACGAAGTACACAAACATAAGCATTTTACGCCTAATAGCTAGTGTCACAAGATCCACCATACCAGTGACAAAAATTGAGGGATATAGATATGGGTAATAATTGGTCAGTGCATTCACCCGGATAGCGAAGGGTGCGGGTTCGAGTCCCGCCTGCTGCCTGGTCCGCGTGGAATTTTTTCTAGTTACATTTTCTTTAGATTTAAACATCAAGCATAGGGATGATGACTAATTTTTTTTTCTTCGTTTATCAGGTAGATTATCCAAAAGTATTGGACACGTATTTTTTCTTTTTTCACATAATATAAACATTGCAAAGATATATTGATTTGAAAAGTCGCATGACGTCACGTTTGAGTACACTTATAAGTGAAAATTCACTCAAAAGTGACGTCACGAGCCACTACTCCCAAACTTTGACGCGCTATAACTTTGTCATTTTTTGGTTTACTGCCCAAAGAAAAAATACGTGTCCATTATTTTTTGATCATCTAACTGACATACTAAATAGAATTACGTACTTACTGTACCCCGTCATCACCGCTATTACATGCTAAAAAATAAAAGTTATAAGTGTTAATTGATTCCCCGGACGCGGGCATATCATATGATGCTCGCGTCCGTGTCAGTCTCCGCTAGATGTGAAGATACTGTGTGACTGACCTGTCATCGCGTTGTGCCTTGTGCGCGTCCCTGTTGCGCCGCTCCCGCTCGCGCTCGAGACTGGCGTATCATATGATGCTCGCGTCCGTGTCAGTCTCCGCTAGATGTGAAGATACTGTGTGACTGACCTGTCATCGCGTTGTGCCTTGTGCGCGTCCCTGTTGCGCCGCTCCCTCTCCCGCTCTCGCTCCCGCTCCCGCTCGCGCTCGAGACTGGCGCTACTGCTGCGGCTGCGGGGCCTCACCAGGTGAGAGTCCACCGGCACCTCCTCCACTGCGCGACAGACAACCACGACCGTTCAACAACTACACTACATTTTATTAACATTATAATCTGGTTTATCCATACTCATCAGGTTTTTTTCACCCACGAATTAGAGATGATGAGAGACGCAAACTACGATGAAGTGGGCGGGGCGAAAAAAATGCAATCAACTCTCCGATCGTGAGATTGATTGGGATTTCCGTTGAACATTGTCACACCCAATGAATGGATAGCCGAATGCATCTGCAGATATTTGATTTGTCAAAGTATTTTGGTTTGCGTGTGTGACTTTGCTAGAGTGTAAGGGTACGGCCAGAGTGCACTCAGATTCAGACTCAGAAAACAAGCGCGTGAAATAAACAGTGTAGTCTAAGCAGGTTGCCTGCTACCACTATGGCCACCCTGCTTTAACTACACTGTTTATTTCTCGCGCTTGTTTTCTGAGTCTGAATCTGAGTGCACTCTGGCCGTACCCTAACGCTGCCATATTATTTCTAATTATATTTGGGTCTAAGCGAATGACTCTACCCCACCTGATGTTAAGTGAGGGTGAAATCCGGACGAAATGATATATAACGCGTTTTTATCACGCTCAATTGTCAAATTACTATGAAGTTTGACAGAGCGATAAAAAACGTTATATAATGTAAATTTAGTGCTCATGTTACGGAGCTGGAGAGATAGCGATAACCCGAATATTTGGGGTAGCGTGACGTTGATATGGAATGGATTAATGAAATATTTTGTTTTATCGCAGTGTGATATCGCGAAATGTACACAACAGGCGTGATATGAGACCAGACACTTCGCTGTAGGCCGACCGAAATCTAAGTTTTCTCGAACGAATATCATTGCGGAGTGTGCGCAATGTTAGTGGCCCCAGTATAAAAGGATCTCTAGTAGTTAAGGACAACTTGTATTTAAAGATATTGGTAACATCTTCGATATCTTGCAGCATGAAATTAGACAGCTATTTGGTAATGAACAAGGAATTAACAGCTATTTATAAATAAGAAAATGGGATTAATCAATCTGCCAGTAATATCCAAGAATAGCAGTGCTGTTATAAATCGTAATACGCAGACCTCTTGCGTTTGCAATTTATGAGAACTTAGTTTTCTTTGGGTAAAAATTTAATTCAACAACCCTAGCGTCGTTACTGCGGTCCCTGGCAGACAAATTGATACAAGATCATTGCCATTATTATAGCAAATACCAGTTATATAATTAATATATTCCTCTGTGAGAATATCTTCCTCCCCTAAAAATATTTCAGCCTCTTTCTTTCACTATCATGAAGCATCTTTATAATAATAAAAATAAATATTTCCAATACTCACAGCAATTAACCCCAAAGGGTAATGGATAGAATACATATATAAATTATATTTATATAGAGATACGTATTAAACATCCATCCAACATCGACTGGAGTACAAATGTTCGTATTCATCACACAAACATCTGCCCCCACTGGTATTCGAACCCAGGCCCTCTCCAGTCGGCGACACCATGAAACCCGGCGTATAAACCACTCGGCCTTAGAGTTCGTCTTTAATTTATATTCTTCAAAAAGCTCCCTTGATAAATAATGTGTTTAATAGATAATGATAGTTAAAGATACTATCATTATAATATCATTCATATTTCCATCATTGACGAATAAAAACAAAAAACTGTTGGAAGTTAAATTATACGCACCCGTCTTTTGTGCGTAGTTTTCAAACAGTCTTGTTTCAACCGTGCTATAATTACAACGACAACACCGCGCCACGAACGGCAAATGACAATGTTTTCGGTTAAAATCTGCGCAAATAACACCAAATTCACACTTCAAAAACATGAAGTGTCATATTTTAGGTGTAACTTTAACTAACAAAATGACGTTACTATCTGGGCGTTTTACTATCGTATATGACTAATTTTATTTTAATAGCTACAACAAAACAACTCTCCCTGTGTGCAACCCGCTTGTCACGTGATTGCGTATGTCTATCTCATACTGTCTCTCTTTCTCTTGTACACCTTCCACGACACAATGTGTTAATTTGAACAAATGTGTTAATGTTATGTATAATATAATGTTGTTATTAAGTTGATTTTTAATTATAACACAGCGCACCCAGTTGTTTATGATGCACTTTAATAAGGCGATTAGGTCTACCTGTTTTTATACATCAATGGGACATGTTCAATGGGTACTTTCCATTTACAATAAAAGTAAGGATTAATTATTTGATCATTATTTATGACTAAATTTGCAAAATTTTGGGGATATATTTCAATGACTAATGAAAAATGACAGGATGATATTTTATGGAAATAAACAAAATTTAAATATAAATAAATTTTTTAATCACCATCTTCTGTTTCCAGATTTTTCGCTTAAATTGGAGCACACTCCCATCACTGCAAGCATTTATAGGATATGGTGACTCATTACCGTCAATCTGGTCCATACAATTAAATATAAATAAATAAATATTTCCAACACTCACACCAATCAGCTTAGCCCCAAAAGCACTGTAAGGCTTGTGTTATGGGATACTAGGGTAATTGATAGAATACATATACAGTACATATATAATTATATTTAAATAGAAATACTTGTTAAACATCCACAACTGGAGAAAAACTGCTCGTATTCATCACACAAGCATCTGCCCCCACTGGGATTCGAACCCGAGACCTCTCAAGTCGGTGACACCTTGAAACTCAGCATACAAACCACTCGGCCACGGAGATCATCGATTGTATAGGTACCACCCTTTTTACTAAAACAAGATATTATCAGCTAGTCTGTTTAGTTGCAAATTTACACGTTTGGCACATCTGTTGATCCCGATTCCAGTATTGCTAACAAATAATACATTTTGCTTATATTATTATTCACAAAATCAAATAATGTAATTGATATAGTATGAAAGAGGGAAATTTGTTCTTTAATTCCAAGCCCACGTATTATGGGCCATTATTAAATTGAATTTAATTTATGGAGCAGGATTAGTTTATTGTATGGAATCATAATAGTGTGATGCCAGCCTCTTGCATAATAATAAAAATTGTCTTTTGCTACACTAAAAATATGCCTCAAGCAGGCAGTTATAAGTAGATGTGGGACTTTAAATTGAAAATTATATATCAATATAATATAACTTCTCCATGATTTGTTGATATCTTCTGTGATGGCTTCTTCGGTATTAAGCCAATGCCCCATATATGTGGCTAGAATGACTTTAAAACAATCTTCACAAATAAAATTATTATAGTTATTTAAATTGGAGTTTCATCTTTACCTCTTGCCTGCCTATATAATGAGGTAATCGTTTGGAGAGGATAATGTTTTTTACCCACCTTACGCTGCGGCACTCGCGACGCGGTGGCCCAACACGAAAGCCACCGAGTCTGAAATAATGAGCAAAGTATGCCATTATCAGGTCAAACGTAACCACCGCCAGTAATGTTGATGACCTGACGTTCACACCTTTATTATTCAGAGTAACCTCTACAACATTGTACTAGGTCTAACAATTGTAATCAGCCTAAAAGCTGATGGTGTGGCCAAATAATCAACATCATCTGACGCTGTATTCATATGTTAGTAAGTTTTGCAGAACTAACCATCAGGAGAGCGTTCCTTTTTGCGATCCTTGTGTTTCTTATGTCTTTTCCTTTCGCGTTCTTCGCCGTCCAAAGGAGAACGAGACCTACTCCTATGCTTCTTCTTTTTAGATTCTTTCTTGTGCTTTTTCGAACCCATAATTAGGGTAGAGTTAGTTTACCAGGTAAAGGAATACTGTAATCTTTAATATTAGACGAAAAATTGTTAAATTAACGATTAAGAAGTAAGTAAAGATACAATACAATAGCATGCGCACTAAAATAAAATCTCAAGCTTGGTTTGGTTAGGTTGTCATTTGTTATATCAGTGTCATGTCTTCACTAGAGGTGAGGCAGAAATATCGGACTAGGTATTTTTCGATACAAGGCGATCCGAGGCGTCAAATATTTCGAGTATTAGGTATCACATAAAATAATGCCAAAGGAAAAGTTGCAACAGACGCCATCTAGGATACTATTTAATCATAACTTGTTTGATTATTAGGTAAAATGTGATAAGTACATCGCGACGCTAGATAGGTGGCGTTGTTCAAGGATTTATTTATTTGAAAACCAACAATGCAGCATATAACACTTAATAACGCTTTGCTAATAACAAGGCCAATCAAAGGTTTTCCTGCTTTAACATAAATAGTAACACTCCGAGCACACCAATCTTACATTATTTTTATTATTCCTTCATACAGAGACGATTCTCTGCAGAACCAGGATCAATTCTAAATAAGACCAAACGGGAAAAACAGGGAGTATATGTTATTTTCATAATAGATATCCAAATCAATCAAAATCCAATTCATACCTAATACACATTGAATACACATAATATCGTATCGTCGTACGTATGCGGAATTGGCAATACTGCATAAATATTAGAAATAGGTATTTTTTAATATTAGGATTACTTGGAATAGGTATCGACTTTACCCAATCCTACTCATCTCAGAGTATATTCCGTAATATATACCAGTATACAGGCCAGTGCTAATGACGTCATGAATCGACGCTATACTGGTGAATTGTTCCGAAATATACTGAAATGCACTGGGTATTGACCTCATAAATCGACGAAATATTAAAAATAGTGCGAATAAAGAAGTTTTTTTATTTACCACATCAATTAAAAGGAATTATTTTTGTTCGGATGCCGTTATTGTTCTATAAATAAAAAAGAAACAAAATTTGAACACTTCTCACGCACGCTCGATCATTCGTCATATTCGTTTTCCCGGTAAAAATATGGAAGCATACCAGTACAATATGGCGTCGGATTCGTAACGTCATTACCACTGGCCAGTATACTGACGTACATTTCGAAATACACCCTATCATCATCATTATCATCAGCCTATTAATGTCCCCACTGCTGGGGCACAGGCTTTCCCTATGAATGGAATAGGGAGATTGGGCCATGACCCACCACGCGGGCCCAGTGCGGATTGGCGGGTGCTAACGACTGCAGATGCAGCCGGGACCAACGGCTTAACGTGCCTTCCGAAGCACGGAGGAACTCGAGATAGAAGATTTTTGGCCACCCATCCAATGACCGACCACTGCGAAAGTTGCTTAACTTCAACGATCGCAGCCGAACGCGCTAACCACCTGCGCCATCGAGCTCCTCACCCTATATGTCAAACGAAAGAACTACTAGTCTTCCACAGACTTCGTAAACTACCAACCAGTATGACCAGGTTCCATCTCAGGTTTTCCCTTATTGTGGCGATGCAAGAAGGCCAAGCCAAGCAGCATTTCATTAAAATAAAGTAAAACTTTTGTTACTCGCTGACACACGCATAATTATGCAATTGGGTTTAACCCGTGTAGTTAAGTTAAATAAATGAATAAGTTACATTGCCACAATTTTTTTCGAAAGAAAATATTACTAGAATAAAATACACGCGGACCAGGCAGCAGACTGGACTCGAACCCGCACCCTGCACTTTCCGGGCGAATGCACTGACAATTATGCTATGCTTTAGATTCAAACATCCAGCAGTAAATGCTTTAAAAAAATACTTAAGAAAGATTTCGTTATTGTAGCATGCCGCGTTACATTTTAATTGTTATTAAAAATCAGATTCTATTAATAAGCAGCGGTGGTTCAGTGGTAAAAAACTCGCTTGATACGCGAGTTCAATTCTTGGTTCAATTAGGCCAAGTAAGGATATTTTTAATTATAAATAATTTTAAAAGTTTCACTGGCACCGTGGTTTCATAGAACCACGCCATTTTTTTAAAGGTATTTTATATTTCCGCAAGTTACAAGGCATATAAATTATTAATAAAGTCTTGACAGAAGTAAATTAAAATACAACAAAAGCGATTTTCCGAAATAAAATCTAATTTATTTACTTCAGTATTTTATTAAATTACGTTAAAAATAATAGTTTTCAATGCACTCGCTAGTTAACTCTTAATTAAGATAAAAAAAACTGCTAAATTGTAGCATCTTTCGAAATGTTGTCACACTGTATCAACTCGCTTCCCTATGGAATTTGTTGTTATTTAGATCTAAATGGCAAAGAGTGTTTGCCTTGTTTATTCTATTTTTAGTTTAGATTTTGTTACATAAATTAAATAAATAAGATCCCTGGCGCAGCTAACCGTCTTTGTGCCGCTTCTTTACAAGTGTCATTAGGGACTATTTGTCAAACGAGACTTACTCGCCTGCAAGGTTATAGCCAGTCAGGATGATTGACCGAAATCCTGAAATCTCTTTAACAGAATTAATTTTAAATGCTGGCGTCAGTTTTTATTTAAATCTATAATAACCATAATAATGATTCAACTGCGAATGTATGTGTCTGTCTGCCCGACTGAAACAGCTGAACCTATTTAGATAAAATTTTTATTGATATAGATGTGCCTCGGAAAGGACCTAGAAGCTTTTATGCCAGATATAATCGTCTAAGGGGGTGAAAAGAGGGATAGAAGTTTGTATGGGAAAGAACTAAGTACCTATATGTAACAAAAACAACATTTTATAAAAGATAGTTTTATTATAATAAACATTTTAAAACACACACAAACAATCACAACAGTTTTATTGCATGTTGGCCATTTACATAACCTATTTTAATTTGTGCTGGCACTTCACATGGCTATTATATAATTTCCAAACTAAATTTGACAGTAGGCTCTAGTAGCTTCATATGGATATCTTAGAAAGAAAATTTACATCAACTTATACTTGGGATATATATAGGTGGATAGATAGATAAACATTTATTTAATAGAATATGGTAAACATAATATGATGACTTTTTTTTTGTTCACATATTCTACCATGATAAGTGGCGAATAATAAGAATATTAAAGGTGAACATATTAGGTTAATTTTACTATGCAATAATTATTAAAACTATAGCAAATAAATCTATTTACCTATTACATCATTTGATTATTAATGTCAAAGTACCATTTCAAATTATATAAAATAATTGCAATAAATTCATAGAAAACATCATTTCATTATTACTGTCAAAATAAAATATTATTGATAAAATCATTGTATAATAAAATGTATCACAATTGGAAAACAACATATACATATTTGAAAAAGAATTCGCTAATGATGTCGATTCTGGCATGATTCTCTAAAGCTAAACTTAAATTTGACAACAGTGCATCCTTGTCCTACTCTATACAGAATGAAAAGGTGAGACTGACCTTAAATTTAGTTTTAAGTTTAGAGAATCACGCCAGAATTGACACCATTGTAATTTAAATTTTAAGTACTCATCTACTGTATAAAAGCATTTTTGTAGAAGCCAAGAAGTCACTTTTTTAAACATACCTAATAAAAGGTATTTTTTTAATAAAGTCAGGCAGTTTGTCATGTATATGTGGCCGAGTGGTTTGTACGCCGGGTTTAAGGCGTCGCCCACTCGAAGGGGTCCCGGGTTCGAATTCCGATGGGGGTAGATGTTTGTGTGATGAATACGAGCATCTATGCTTCAGTCATGAATGTTTAATATCTATTTCTATATAAATATACTTAAATATATATCAGTATATATATTCTATCCGTTACTTTAGTATCCCATAACACAAGCCTATAGTGCTTACTTCGGCGCTAGGCTCATTGGTGTGAGTACTGGAAATATTTATTTATTGTTTATTTATATTAATATTGCTTGAACATATGCATTTCTACTGAACATTTTCAGTATACATTTTGGTAAAAAGAGTCAGTTATTGTGTCTTTTATGTCAATGACAATGCCTAGGGAAATAATTTGGATTCTACCTCAATTCAATTCAATTCAATTTATTGCAGTCATGTGGTTACATGGATGGTTACAAGTTACAAAATGCATAAAGTACCTAACATGAACCCTGTCAGGGTATCGCAATATAGATAAAAATTACAAAAGAGAATTTAACAAATAAACAATTATCTATATATGAAGAATCTAATATTTATTAAACAACTTTTTTTTCTCAAAGCATGCATAAATGTCATCTGATTTCATTAATTTTATAACTTACTCAATTGATCTTATTTACAGTACTAGTTTAATTTTGTAATTATTATTATGGAAATTCTTTTATAAAATTAAATTTGTCAATAATTAAAATTAAAAAATATGTCAATAAAAATAAAATAATATGTCAATAAACATGATTATATAATCTAGGTTTGTATTTTAAAGATCGCCTCATTAATATTATTTTGTTGCAAAGTATTCATCTATGGTGTAAAAGCATTTATCTAATAAATATATTTTCAACCTCACATATATAAGCGATAAGGCCGCCCATTGCATCACGTGTACCAGATGGTTTTGTACTTAATGTTCAATGCTTTTTTTGTGGTGTACAATAAAGAGTTTTTGTATTGTATTGTATTGTATTGTATATATATCTATATAGATTTTATAAACGTGCATGTGAGTGGAAGTATTTTTAATTGTTTAAACAATGGTTTGCATCTTTCGATCCTCCTAGCATTGCGTATAGCCCTAATACATTTTTTTTATGTGTTACATCTTTCCTCTCGCTTTCCTGCAATTGGTGGGAGTGATTTCATGAAATGGGACGGAAGTGTGTAACAGGAAGTCGCGAAAGCGCGCGCTATTTGATTTGATTTTAGAACATAATGTTCAAATGCCTTATTCCTTATCTACTAAGGTTTTATTTCTTTTTTTACTAATATAAGGTGAGGTTTGAAATGTTACACATCCATACGCGACTACTGTAAGGCTCGCTCTTTTTTTTTTGTAGTCTGAAAGCAAGTACTATGACAACCGAGTAACCCCAGCTCAGCCATCCGTACCCACTAGGGTAATATGGGTAATGATATTCCCATTCTCATATAGTCAGTACTGCTGACTATATGAGAATGGGAATATCATTTATGGCTCAGAAAAAATTAGGACCAAGAATACTCCCTTGTGGTACACGTAGTTGTTTATTTTATAAACTGACCTAAAATTTCGTTTTATTGGCAGTTTTAGGTTTTGACTTACTCTTGTTACTTTAATATTTTTTCATCATACTCTATCACAGATGAAGCTATAAGTATTGTGTCATCGGCATCACGAAGTTATTGATTAGGCGTCTATTGATTTAATACCACAGTTGATATCCTCAGGCGCTTCAGCCATAATAGCCTCTGAGTAAATATTGAATAACAAGGGGACAAGCCCAAGCGCTTCAGCCATAATAGCCTCTGAGTAAATATTGAATAACATAGGGGACAAGATGCATCCTTGTTTAACTCCTCTTTGGATGGCTAGTTAATTGGAGTCTGTTCCTTCAATACGAATCATAGCACGGTGGTTTCAGTGAAGATTTTGAATTATTCTTATGTCTTTCTTATCAAGGCCATATCTCTCAGAAGTGCGATAAGTATATCGTGTTCAACTCTATCAAATGCCTTTTCGTAATCGACATTCTGCCTCACGTCTCTACATTTTTGAACAAGAGAACATGAACCGCGAAAAGAGCTTCCCTTGTTCCCACACCGAAACAAAACCCAAACTAACTATCAGCTAGTTGCTCATCACACTTCTTCCTAATCCGTTTGTGTACACTTTATAAGGTACCTATTTATTTACTTTTTAGTATATGATCACAAAATCAACTATTACGAAAATAATATCAGAAAGGAATATCAGAGTCGATGTTAACTTTGACGCTATCTATCTCTATATCGCTATCGCTAGCGCCATCTATCTCTTTATCTGCTGTCAAATAAACGAATTTGTAAATATGAGTAACCACGTGAAGTGAAGCATTAAGTGTGGAAAAAACTAATATCATCATAACAAAATTGCTTTCATAAGAGCAATCATGTTGTTTCCAGTCTTTATGATTCAAAAAAGATTATTAACAATATTTTTTATCTTATGCAAAATTATAATAGGATAACTAAACTTAGAATAAATTACAATATAATTGGAATGCATTACGTCAAGAATATTTACATTAGAAATATAAGAATAATTCGTTATTTGCGACATCTGTTAAATATATATTATAAAATGATAAAGTTATATATTAGAATTATAGAAGACATTATATACACAGCACAACGAAACTTGTAGATTAATATGAAAATATCACTACATATTTCTGTAGACGAGGCTAAAATGAAATCAGTACATCACTCGATCATTTATTAAAATCGATAAAGATATGCATTCACGTACTTTATTTACACAGTCTAAAACTTGGCCTTTTCAAATATTTCAATAACTAAACTTGAATCTGTAATTTAAACTTAAACATTCTCTTTATTTTATTTAATTACAAATTGGCGAAATATTGGTCACGTTTTTAAGAACCATTATAAGTATTGTAGTTGAATAAAAAAATACACAAAAAGCCAATTAAAGAACTCTCAATCCATTAAATATGTCATTTATATAGTGTAAGTGAAATATAGTAACGACAATAATATCTATAGAGTATTAAAAAAAACGACGGGTTGCACTACGGGAGTGCCGGCAGAAGTGAAAACTTGAATATTAACGTTGTGCATTTTTGATATTTGGAATGGTTAGGAAATAATTTTGCACGAATTGCTTTAATTATCTGTATAAAATTTGGTACTATTATTTATGTGATAGATTACAATATTTATTTATTGCGCTATCGTACACAAACATGACAATTTATATTACATTAAAAAGTTTATCCCTCAGAAAAATCAACTTACATGAATCACATTTAAGCGCACCTAGCGACATCTATTGTAAAAAAATGCATTTTCTTCGCAATAAAGCTGCCACGTGGACATACTAGATAGAGACTTATTATTATAATACGATAAAATAAAATATTACTATGTTTCGTCCATTGAAAGTCAACAACTTTCCAATTTTATTGTTTTCGTCTTACAAATTTTCGATTAGGTCACGTGTCCACGTGTCCTGACGCGAGTTTAACATTTTTACCCATACAAAAAAAGTGTACAACGCATCTAAAGATGTTTTCACTTCAAAATACATTCAAGAAACTAGTGATTTCAGATTATAACAAGTTTTTGTAGTTTTAGCTTCGTTCATTTGACTTCTGTATAAATATATGCATCTAATTTCTAATGGCTTTCACGGGCTGACAAATGGTTGAATATCTTATTAAAAATATAGTAATATATGCATAAATTCTATTACAAAATTAAGTTATTTGATGTTTCTATAAAAATAGTTTAATTTAGATATTACACAAATACAAAGGTACAATATTCATTTAGTACATAAGCTACAAAAAATATTTTCTTCTTTATACACAATATCAATATGTTTTTTATCTAATCAATAGACCTCTTTATAATAATAATTTATTGCTTAAAGATATGGTATAAAAGGCGTTCGATTGTTATCATCACGTCTCACATATTCTACTGTTAGACAGCATGCAACAGTTTATAAATTCAATGAAAATTAAAGTGTCACTTTAAGCTAACAAGTAACCTGCTAAGATTATTTTACAATCAATGTTATCCAATTTCAAATGAATATAAAATTATCCATCATAATGTAAAAAAATAGATGTCTAATGCTACAAAATTTGTTTTGAGAATCACAGAGAAACAAAATATGCATATTAAGAAGAGAAATCATAGATGTAAGAATAGGCGAAGAGATAGGTAAAAAGTTTAGCTACTGGTGTCGATTCTGGCATGATTTTCTATACGTAAACTTAAATTTGACAAGAGCGTATCCTTGTCATTCTCTATACAGAATGAAAAGGAGAGACTGATGTTATATTTAGTTATAAGAATCATGTCAGAATTGTCATGATTTTCAACTTTAATGGATGGATTCAAAGGATAAAATAGATTTGAATTTCAGAAGTGATTACTTTTTATGGGAGGGTAAAACGTTTCGTTACGTAACGCGTTGCGGCGCCAATCCGTGTGGCTTCCCTTCCTCTCAGGCATACGGCAGCGGTAGGCAGGCTGCTCCTCTCTCACTCTAACCTGCAGTGCCGTTTAGATTAGTTTAAGTTATCACTTTTGTCGTGCGTCCCGAGATGCACATGCTTTTGTTTTGATATATTTAGTTGCCTGAAATGTTTCCGGTTGTAGATAGTGTTGTGTGTCGAGTGGTTCCTTACTACAGGCTGCTTCTGTTTTGATATATTTAGTTGCCTGAAATGTTTTCGGTTGTAGATAGTGTTGTGTGTCGAGTGGTTCCTTACTACAGGCTGCTTCTGTTTTGATATATTTAGTTGCCTGAAATGTTTTCGGTTGTAGATAGTGTTGTGTGTCGAGTGGTTCCTTACTAATGTGTCGTAGTCTGCTGCGAGCCAGGTGTGTCAAAGCAGCGCGTGCGCAGGCACGATGCGGGGCGCGGGCTTGGCGGGGTCGCTCTCCCACGCCACCGCCACGCCGTCCGCGAACAATCCGAACAACACCTGCGAGTCCGCGTTGTATGCCAACCTGGACACGCACAATTATAATGCAATTACAATCATACCAGAGACAAAAGCAGGAATTTTATGATAGCTCCGTAACGTATCATTATCGTCAAATTTTGTATGGAAGAAGGTAGTTTGTTCTTACGACCGATAAGGGGGCGCTACTTCAGATTTCATAGAGACTGACGGTGCGATACGTTACTAGAGGCGCGGTGATGGCGCGGTGAGGGGGCGCAGGTCCCGGCCGCGGTCACTGCCTGCAGTGTGTGTGTGTGTGTGTGTGTGTGTGCGCGTGTAGTGGGGGCGGGTGGTACCGGTGGGCGGGCGCGGGCGGGGGCGGGGGCGGGCGGCGCGGCTCGGGCGCGGTGAGGGGGCGCAGGTCCCGGCCGCGGTCACTGCCTGCAGTGTGTGTGTGTGTGTGTGTGTGTGTGCGCGTGTAGTGGGGGCGGGTGGTACCGGTGGGCGGGCGCGGGCGGGGGCGGGGGCGGGCGGCGCGGCTCGGGCGCGGTGAGGGGGCGCAGGTCCCGGC